TTCGGATGTTTCGTTTATTACATTTTACAACATTTTGCATTCTAATTTGCTTATTTATACCGTTTGTGAATGCATCTCTTCATTTTCAGATGCTATTATTTCTCCTGGCTTAAAGATTTCCTCTTTTTTACATACTGCTCTCTTTTGAAATTTATTTGTGTGTTAACTACTTTAATTTCTTCTTTGTTACAATGGGTAGCATTAATGGCCCGACCTTTTCTTTGGTTTTAATAAGTTTTACCTCTTGCTTTGCCTTCTTATAACATTCATTAATCTAGAAGACATATGAATGATATAATTTACATTCCAGTGGATATCTGGTCATCAATGGTAATATAATATAATATATATATATATCTTCATCCAAATGACAGTGGTACATATACTTGTGTGGTAGAAAATGGAATTGGTGAAGCCCAAATAAATTTAGAATTTTAAGTGTATTCTTGACTATGGAATTTTATTATTACAAACATATATATATATATGTATGTAAGATATAACAAAATACAATGGCTGCTTTAAAAATAATTGGCGACCTCAAAATTAACTATTCTAGATTTGGTGCTCTTTCCCTAAATTCATCTGCTCTCCCAAACTCGAGATCCTTCTATGTTATATAACAACCTCAAATTAACCAATCATAGCTTCTCTCTACAGCTGCATCTACTTTGGTATAAATACCGCTGGTGAATTAATTACGTCATTCCTTCCCTTAGCTTCTGCCACGCCAATATCCACGCTGCTTTGCTTCCTCATCCCAAATGCCTACGTCATTTCTTTAAAAAAAGATGTACATAGCAATTTATCCTATTTAATTATTATTGAAAAAGTGTCTGTCAAACTAATCGGATATGCGTGAAAATAAAGATAGGTGATTTGTCGAAATCAAATTCGTTAGCTTCATCTCTATGCCTTAACCATAAGCCATGACTGCTACCGAAGCCGTTAAGAGCTCCGGTGTTTCCTTCTACGCGTTAAATCATTACACACACACACACACACACACATATATATATATACATAGGTATACATATACTTATGTATACCTCGTGAACATTTTTTACTTATAAAGCAGAGACAAACTATCAGTCATCTGAATGGATAAAAGAAATTTACTTCGAACACAGAAATTCGTTTTAGAAGTTTCGAGCAAAGACCGTTTAGTTGATTTTTCCGACTGACGAGGAGTAAATCGTAAATAGTTTTGCGTGAAGGGCAACAAAGTAGATTCTACTTTCGGCCTTTTGATTGGGAAAAAAAGTGTAACTTGTATTAATTATTCTCCCACTTTCTAGATCTCACAGTCTGTTCTCTGAAATGATAACTTACATTAAAGAGCAGCATTTCATAAATTCAAAGGAAGAAAAAAGAAAATGAAACACCATTGTGTTAGTTGATCTTTACGAAACCATTCTGAAGTTACATGAACTTGCAAGATATGTACAGCTTTAAAAGTAACGCATGAAGGAGGCTAAGGCTAAATAGTAATAAAGATATTCAAGGGAAAAATATCTTAAAAATAAAAGAAATTAAGGAAGTCTTCAACTTCGTTTGCGCATAGTCCTTTTCGTCCTTATCCGTTTTCTCCCGGGGTCAAAATTATGTCGATTCATCTTCCTCATCAAGTAACTCGGAATATTTTGCATTCCATCCGCTTCCGAAAAGTCTTTGCTAAGACAATCATTTGTTGAGATAGGGAACATAGTGATAAATGCGCATTGGTTTGTTACGCTTAAAAATCTGATCAATGCGTTAATTTCTGTGAAGTAATTTCAGAATCGTGTTAAAGCGGGAATTACAATTCCGTTTTCAATCACATGCCATTATTCTAAATATTTTTCTTAATATTATCCTGTATATTTGTTTAAAACATGATCAAGAGTTATCCAAACCTAAATTTATTAAAATTAAGTATAGTCATTCAGCGCTAATATTCAAAGGTAGATAAATCCCATTAAAAACAAATTTATAAAGTTTATTTAGTTTACATAACAATTATTTTATTTTTTGTAAATTTACTATAACTCCTCTCTTTCCGTTTTCCCACCAGAATGCAAATTTGCTCTCTTGTATTTAAGTGAGAGTTTGAGATCGTTAAGTCAGAGCGTAAATCTGCCGCTTGAAGACCACGTTACTAGGTTTGCTATTCTAGATACTAGTTCCTGCCTTCGGCATTGCTACTTGCCCACAGTTAAATTCACATCAGTGAATTCCGAGCAAACTTTGCGATTAAATTACTCTGTGTAGCCTTGGGCTACAGATATTTAAATTTAGCTTTACATTTGAAGTTCTACTTCAATTTCTCGCCATAAGTGCCAGAGGATTGGTAAACACCACGAGTGCCTTCTCTTCATCTTGTTGAGTTTGAAGTAAAAGGGTCTTTTACACCTTTCGAAAGTTTCCGTACTTACTTTCTTAATGTAATTTAAGTAATACATTAAAAAGAAAGTTCCAAAATTAACTGTCGAAAAAAATAATTAGCAAATTTTAACATAAACCTTAGCCAGATGAAAGCAATAAGGGTAATTTTGCTTAAACCATTTTTATGGACGAAAGAGGGTGTGCACTATTTCCAAAAGTGACACATAAAAAAAAAAAAAAAAAAAAAAAAAGAACTGACGCTGAGCTTACAATATGAGTAAGCGCCCAAAGTTAATGTTTATTTAATTAACAGTAAAAATATAATTCGTCCTCACACATTGTTACTTAAAATAGCACAGAGAAATTTAAATTGCGAGTAAGTATAGTATTACAGTTACAAAGCTCCGGTCACTTATTTTTAACCAAATGAACTTTTGCAAGCGCGAAATAAAATATTTCAGAGTTCACTCGTATATTCGGCGTCTCTATGGCATTCGTGTCGGTTTTTAAATATGACACATTTTCAACCCAGGAATTCTTTTTCATCACGTAAAGATCATTAGAGTTTTCAGAATACCTATTGTAAAAAATCAACTGCAATCTCGTCTGGATTCGAGAGACTGATCTTCCGGCTATCATTGGGCGAGCTATCACTTACGCGACGAAAGCACGCGCGAAAGAAGGCGATAATTCCTCGCATTCTTCGTCAGTTAAAGGGTGAATGGGGGAGAGACACTAGACCAGTCAACCAAATCCAGATAGTGCCGAATTATCATCGCCCATATTTTGTTTCGGGCTTACCTATAGGGACCTGTAGGTTTTTTGGAGCAGGAAACGTGAAAAAAAGTACATTGTATTTCCTCTGGGATTCGAACTACGGATATTCCATATGCCAGCTGATTGGGCTAACCACTTACACCACGACAGCACACACAGAAAGATGCGCTTCTTTCTTATAATCACGTCGTTCTTTAAAAATTTACCAGTCGAATTCCCTTTTTTTGTAATTTTGTTAAATCTTTTGTATTTCATATTTCAGTGCTATCTAGTTAAAAGGAAAATGTTGCCACGCAAGGGAAGGGAAGATCATACAGATTGGATATAAATCTCTTCCTTTCTTTTAATTTTGTGTGTATGTTACATGAGTTCTTTTGCATTGAATCCATCTGTACTGTATATCACAGCTTTAATGTCTAGAATACAATTACTAACTGTAAGTTTAGTTCTTTTTATTTGTGATCTTCCAGCGACTAGAAATTTAAAATAATTCAAAACGCCCCTGAAACTACTTTTTAAACCGCTGTGCCAACCATACTCAGGTCCACATAAAGGCCTTGTCCTTACCAGAACAGATAAAACTTCTACAATTGAAATAAAGGGGTTTAAATCTACTGTGTCTATAGACCGTGTGAAACCAGCTTATTTGCTTAAATATTGAAAAACAGTACTTTACATTTCTCTGAAACAAGTCTTCACTGAAATAGCAGTTACAAACTGTTTTTACTGGAACTGCAGGTGTTATCAAAACTTAAGTCTATAAAAATACTTAATTTAAATATTTTTCTAAATCCTTCCAATCAATGATGAGGTATTCTAAGGAAAGAATGGTGAATGACGTGTCTAATATATAAGCTTAAAGCAATGAAACGTTTCAAATTAAAATTCACTGGAAATTTTAAGTGAAGCTTTTCCCAACTAGCAGTCTTTTCAGATGCGCCAGTTTTCATTTTACCTTCATTTATAGAGTTATAATAGTTTTGTAGATAGTGTTCGGGTATTTTTCATTTATTGATTTACTTTTTGCGGAGCAAAAAAACTGTGTTCTTGCATGGAATCGAACCCCTTGTCTTCGCACTGTAAACTGGATAACTCGTCACTAGCTCACCAGAGTATGCTTGAAGGAAATGTCTTAATTCCTTGCATTTTATACTCCTTTCTCTGGAATATGTTTGAGGAGAGGTGGTAAAACTTATTTGGTCAGAACAAAAGAATGATAACTTATTTATTAATCAAATACCTGAACACTTGCTCATTAAGCATTCGCCGCATCTAGCCAAACGCATTGCTCATTTAGTTATCTCTACACCGAGAATGTTGCTCAGAAAGTCCCATAATCGGTAATCGATATTACATCCGCTGGAAGGGGCATAAATAGCGGCAAACATCTTTACCATCTCTGGGACTGAACCTGGGCACAACGATACAGTAGTTGGTTCCACTCCCCCAGCATTCCGAGCAGGGAGATGAGATTTCGTCCGCTACATTTATTTCGAGTGCCACCGCACAGATTCGATGCTCTCACGTGGAAAACCACTCTAGTTGGGCTTACCACTACAACACAAGAGTACGTAATTCTTCATTTTCAAGAGCATGTTTCCTTAAATGCTTTAGAAGAAATTTATATTTTTAATAGAGTAATATCGAACTAAGAATTTCTTTTCAATCATGAAAAATATTATTACATTTCGAAATGTCTAATGTCATTTCATTTGCAATCACATTTTCCAGAAAAAAAGATATTTCTAAGCCGAATAACGATTTCAGTAATGAATCGATAAATGCTTTCGGAGGATATCCAATAAGAGTTTACACATACGAGGTCAAAGTGCATCAAGATCCTGAGGTCAGTGAGGCCAAGTATATAAGCAGCAGACTTTGCTTAGAAGTCTATCTCATCCAAGATGGTCCTGAGATTAGTTTTTGTGCTGTGGCTAGGATGCCTTACTGCGGCAGGTAGGAGATTATATAACACATTTTTCACTTTGCATTAGCAATGCGATGAAATGATTTTGATGTAACTATTTTGCTAAATGTTTCAAATGTGATCTAACAATTTTTAAGCTGATTACTTGTAGTGTTTGAATTCAAATTAACATGTTTTTTTTGTGTAAGGACAAATTATTTTTTAATCTTTATACGAATAAACTGCACCAGTATTGAGGATTTTGCGTTCAGAAAACGAAATGCTACAAATAAAAAATGAGCGATATTTGCAAAAGCGACTAAAATATTTATTTTGTTGACAGGAAAAATTATGGAAGAAGCATTATAAACTCGTACATAGCTCAACAAGTTTAGAATTATGAAAGATTGGTAGCTTTAAATGCACTTTTATAAAAACGTTTCAGAAGTCTATCTGCAACTACCTATTTAATAGTTTGTAGAATTGCTTTAATGAATCTTAGCCAACCGAATTAACTACTATAGCTTGGGGTTTCAGAAAATTTGTCTATTTCATAAGTATGAAACACGTTTTCAAACAATGCAATATTTGTAACAAAAATAATGTACCCAATCACTCGTTTTTAACGAAAGCTTCGGCGTAATTCATTTAGCGCAATGCAGGTAAAAATCTGTATTGTAGAAGTGCGTTAGCTTATACTAAAAAGTGCATTCACCTGTATTGGAAAGTGAAAATATTTACATGGAAAAGTTATTTATGTGTTGTTTCATTTAAGCAGGTAAAAAAAAAATCTTTTAACTAAATAAAGGGGGAAATTATTCGTGTATTTCGTTTTAATTCAATAGACGAAACATTTCTTCTATAAATTCAATAGGGAAAAAAATTACATTTAGTCTTCTTTCATTTAACAGGGGAGAACATTTCTTTCAATTTCTTAAGCAGAAACGATAGCTCTGCAACATTTTTTATTGTTTAATGATTGTCGTTGCTAATCAGTCTGAACTTTTCATATTTTAAGGCATATTTACTCTAGTTTAAAAATAAAGCAGACTACCATTGCCCCGAATTTCAAATATTCAGATTGATTGTTTTTTTAGTCTTAGAAAAGCCAAGTAAAATTAAACTTCTTGCTAATTTATTTAAGAAATGTACTTCATGTTTAAGAATTATTCCAAATTTCAGATATCCAAAATAATTGTTTTATCCAAGCCTAGTAAATTAAGCTTGTTGTCAATTTATTCATGTGTTTTTAATTTTTCCGTTGATTAAAACAATCCAACAGTAAAAGTAAAAATGTATTCATATAAATATCACTGTCCATATATCAATTCGCTTCAATAAGATTAACATATTGACTAAGGTGCAGATGAATAAAAATGTGTTGTGCGATTTGTTTTTCGCCACTTGATAAAAAACAGTTCATTATTAAATTTTAGTACGATAAAAATAAAAGCAAAGTTCCATGCATGGTTTTAAAGAATACTGGAATAAAAATAAATTTTATTGTTCAAATTCACATAAAATAGAAATAAACTGAATATTGAGACAAATGGAAAATTTCAATGCATAATTTTGCCGAAAAATGAGAGTTTTATATTTTGCTTTATGGAAATTAAGTATTTTATTTCTTAACTTTATAATCATGACTGAAATAGAAACGATGAAAGAAAAATATGATCCAGTAACAATATATCAAAGTACATGTTCATTTGATATATAGAAAAAAGGCAAGGAAATAATCCTGATATATACATATTTTTTAGGATATGCGTAGGGGTTGTGCTTTTACTTATGTCGGATACTTGGAGATTTACTACGTAAATATAGCATTCTATACTTATGAGATAAACAAATCGTGAAAGTTGCATATATGGTTGCTTTGCCATGTGAAATAAAATCCTTTGACTTTTTTGAATGCTTTTAACGTAGGAAAAATCAGCAATCTATTTCTCTTAACGCTGTAAAGAATTAATCAATTATTGTTTTCAGTTCTAAATATCGCAAATAAATGTTTTTGAACCGATGAGATTTCTTTTCCCCACTGAACTTCATCTATTTTGTGTTTTACACATTTACGAAGTGAACTTCATCTATTTCGTGTTTTGAACATTTATAAATTACCTTTTAAGTGAAGTTTAATTTTAAAACATATTTTCCTGCTACAAGTTTGCACCTTCAAAGAGGAGTCCTTTCTCTCTCTCTTTTTTATTTTTTATTTTTGGTTTGTTTTGTTGAATGAAGAGACTTTAACTATTTTCATTGATAAAATAAACTATTAAGTATATTTAATAATTATAAATCAGTAATCAAATATAAGGATAAATGATAATTAATAATTTTATGTAATAAAAATACGTAACTATTAATTAGCATAAAATATAAGTGTAATCCCTGAATAGGAATTAAAAAATTTTTGGTAGTTAGCATGCATTAGATTACTAATATTCCACAACTGTCTTATACTACAGACTGTCATGTAATTAAAGTCGGAGAGCAACTGTACTCTCTCTGAATTTTATTGAATAATTAGCTTAGACTTTGTAAGTAACGCAAGTAAAAGAAGTGGACATGCATTGAAACCTTGGTTCATGAAATTACTTTGTTCGTGAAGATAATTTGCGACAAGAAATATTCGCAAACTCAAACACAAAATTGGAACACAGGAATTACGTAAAAGAAATGAATATATTTCCGGATCTCAAATGATTGCTTAGAAAAGCGTATTTTGAAAGTAAATTTATATCGCAGAACTGATAGAATTCATAAAATCTAACATACACACAATATTTAATAAAATACTAAATATAAAATATTAAAAACACTTGAATTAAATTTTATCGTATTATCTCTACGAAGGAAAATTGACGTCGGGTGAAGAACCAAAGGTTCAAAATATAATTGTTTAAAAGTAAAATCCTTTTCTGTAAAAGTATCAGATTAGCTACTGATTTTTCTTTCTTTCTTTTTTTTTTCCTTGTCTTAACACTGTTTGCCTCTGTCTGAGAATTGCTGGGCCATTTTCCCATTTAAAAATTTGTTCAGTATGATTTGTTTCTGTATACGTTTTAAAATGTTCTTAAAGGACGACATGGCATTGTCATTGCAAATATTAAAGCTGCGGCTTACTACTGCTTTAGCAAAATAACAATATTCTATGATTATCCTAACTTTCATCGTCTTTTGAAAACATTTCCTTCACTGCATTAACTGCATTTTAGAGCAATCCTTATTACCGGCTTACTTTTTCGCCTCTCGAGGCACTGTTCATAATCCACGACATTTTTCCTTTGGATAATGTGTTCGTTATCCAAGGCATTTAGGAGCTAAGGTTCCACGGTATTCAGGAGGTTTTTAATTTTGCTTCATGTTTTTCTTTTGCAATATGTATGCATTAATGATCATCTGAAGTTCTATAATGTAGCTAACAAAAGACATTCTGGAAGAATTTAAAAATAGTTTTGCATATATATATTTATCATCTTTGTTGCATTACTTACGCTTACATACAGTCTTCTTCTGTGAAATTCCATCGTACCATGAGAGGAAATAAATTAAAGTATTAGATTAGATGGCTGAATTTACAAGGTATTTCTCCGTGCCATCTCAGCATGCCTTCGTGGTGTAATGGTCAGCACGCTCGGTGCGTATTCGAGAGGGCCGAGGTTCCAGTCCCGGGGCGAGGGCATTGCACATTTTTTAAGTCTTCCTGCTTAAAATAAGATAATGACTCATCACTGGCGCCCGAACTAAAAGGTGGTGAATAATGATTCTCCATCAGGATTTGGCGATTGCGTCCCCTCATTCCCAGTAGCCTTTTCTCCCGCCTGCTTCGTAGTGTAATGGTCAGCACGCTCGGCGTGTATTCGAGAGGTTAGAGTCCTGGCGAGAGCATTGCTCATTTTTCATCTTTCCTACTTCCAAACTAGCCTAATGTCTCTACAAATTACGATAAAGCTCTCGAGAGCTACCTGTTTAGAGGAGGAGTACCTCCAGGAAACATTTTCTAAGTAATAAGTTAAGGGAAATTACTATTCCTCGTTTAGTGAACAAATAATTTGTTACCAATCCTTATTTTATACGCACAAATGTTTATGTCATTTTGATCAGATAGAAGTTATTTTCGGAATTTTTTATTTTATCAGTACAGACGTTATTGCTGTTTAAAATAAAAATGTAAAGACTCTTTTTATTTTATCCTTTAGGAAATAATAGTGCCACTGATAAATACTACTTTTATCATGCTGATAACTAAAAGCCATGACTTCCATATATCTTTTGCAATCAATTTTCAGTATTGAATATTTCATAAGCAATTATATAAAAATTTTAGGATTTGATCGTCACCTAATGATGGGCAAAAGTTTGTCATCAGTTATTGAGATTTTTCATTACTAAAAATAAAAAAAAAAAAACCTATTATAGTTTGTTTAAATTTCTTTATAAAAGATTTAAAATTTATATTATATAAAAACACAATTATATAAATTAAATATTATTACAAAACAAATATATATATAAATAATATTATATAATTAAAAAATTTTAAATATATTTAATATAAAATTTTGTATTAATATATTAAAAATTTTGTAGTATATAAAATATATATTTTAAAATTTTATAAATCCATTAAGCAGCTTGTTTTAAACTGGTGTACAGTTATCAGAAACATAAGAAATATGTGTTATTTTTTATGTATTCGAATAAAAATATTAGAAATGAATCAAACTGCAAACTGTACATTTTCGTCATGTAATGCGAAAAAAAGCAAAGAATTAGAAGGATAACATTTACTATTAACATGAACATCGGATACTACATTTATAATCACATATCATTCATCTAAGACGACTTTTAGAGGTTCAATATCTCATTCATCTAACATGTATTTTGGATTTCAGTAGTACATATTTTTTCTCGTTCTTTAGCCAGCGAAAAGGGCAAGAATAAGAAATTGTTTTAAACTGAGAAAGATTTCCAGTTCCGGTTAATCGTTTACTGATTTGAATTAAATTTTAAACAGAGTGCATTTTATGAATATTATGGAGTACTTTACTTAAGAACCATATTAAAATTCTTAGCAATCAGATGCCTCTTTCCCCCCACTAGGTCACAATTACTGCTCTTCTTAATTACGTTGATGTTTTTATGCCTGAATAATACTAGCTGTTTAGTTACCAGGTGGACAAAATGAATAAACTTCCACGCAAAGAAAATACTGTTTACGGAACTCGTTGAAAAAGAGTATCTCTAACAGATAATTTCAACAAAATTTTTTAAAACCAGATTAAAGTCTCTTAAAATCAGTAACACTTACACTATTGAACAAGGTAACTAATATGCATCTTCGAAAAAAAACTATCATAACTTTTCTTTGAAAGTAAAAACGAAAATTAAGGAAATGGAAGAATCAGTAAGTAGAAGTCACAGTTAAAGTTCGGTATAACGATTATACGAAATAACGATAAATGTTTCTAGGCGTTCGCCTTAGTCTAATTGCTTTTGACATTTAGCTAATGCAGAGTCAAGATTCAGACTCAGTTAGTAACTGAAGTTGTACTGACAGATAATGTTGTCTAACTCTTAGTTTAGTTTAGTTTAGTGACGGAGGACGTGGGCACCATCCCTTTACCATTATGGTTAATTGGTTTAGCGCCACGTCCACCCTTATCTAAAGCTGACTCATGTTAGAGCCACACGAGATCCACTCATAGGGCACACTGATTAGTGTTACAAAACATAGATATTAAAAATGGTTACATCTGTGTGAACACAGTACTTATGAACAAAACTTTAGCAAGTGACACATAAGATTACAATTCAATACCCTAGGAAGTAATTTTAGCAAGTTACATATAAAGTTTACAATTCAATACATAAAGAAGATATATCATACATAATGATTATATTATACTGTTGTGATTGATAAGTGACGACATTGGCAACATGAATTTACTAATGCAAAATTCAACATTTAAACTCAGTATACAAAAAACCCAAGAACATACAAATGCTTATATTTCATACATTGCCAGCTTAAAAAATTTATAGTGGAGAAGTATAAAAATACTTAGATCTCACATAAGTCTCTAATATTCTGAATGTCATTGTTAACTTTTATATTACAGCTTACTACTAAGGACACAGTTATTATATTAAAATTGGATATTAATACAGTTAAATGAATAATTGCACTTAGACTATAAATACACTATAAAAACATTAATCCTTTACAATTTCTAAAATGCAATGATTCAAAACAATGATTTTATGCGAATATTAGAACAATGATTCACTATAAATATACAATGATTCAATACTATTACTTAAATTAATGATAATACTATTCATATTATTAATCATATATGCCATGTTGACATCAAAATAATATTTTTTTTCATACAGGTGCTTATTACTGAAATGATGTTTACATATTACTAGCAAGCAATTCAAAAATAAGATATGTACAGTACAATTTTACTTGCACATTGGAAATACTATACAAATAAATAATTCAATACAATGATTCCGTACGATTACTCATGAATAATTCAATATTATGATTCTATACGATTATTCAAATGCAATGATTCAATACAACAATTCTATGCGCTTATTAGAACAAAAATCTATATAATTATTCAAAATTTCAATATTATTGCTCAAATTAATAAAAATACCACATTTATATTATAAACCTCACTACCCAAGTGACACAAACATTTAAATTACACCATTAATTAATCATTACAGCAATGATATTACATGTTACTTGAAAGCAGTTAATTATAATTATGTACTGTACAGTTTTACCTTGCACACTGAATATTATAAATAATGTAATGATGCAATACAGTGATATTATACTGCTTCTCTAGAACATGTACCAAAGCAATAATTATATGCAGCGACTGAAGTATAAAGATTACGATACAAGTATTCAGTGATTTAATATATATATTCAGATTTGTAGTAATACTATATATGTTATTAATAACATGAAAACTACGCAAACTTTTAACGTTCGTACGATGATTTAGAGCAGGGTGGGCAAAAGTTGCCAAAATTAAAAGGGCTGAACGCGGTCCTTCTAATTGCTTAATCTACCCCTTTATGAAATCTTATGCTACAACACTTTCATCTCTCTTTTGCCCGATTGTGTGTGCAAACAACCGAAATCAGCAGCACGAGTGCGCATCTGTTGTTACAGTGTATATGTGCATACTTACGCATAAATATACTAGCGATCAGTCGAAGCTGAGAGCCCTAGATATACTATAAAGCATGTGTACCAGCCTTATAGAGTTTAATCATTTCTAGCAGCTTTATTTTAGAAGTTAAACAATGAAATCTTAATACTGTTGAAATAAAAAGACTGATCAGAAAAGCGAGCTTAGGCAAAGAATATTTCAACTCCAGTATGCATGTCACTCATTTGATGACCAATAGGAATGGATCCCGTTTTTGCCGTATTCGTAGTATTTTTTAAAAGTTTTATTTTATTTAAAAATTTCGATTCTCCCCTTTCATCGCGTCCTGCAAACAATAGGGCACTGTCCCTATATATCGTTACTGCCCTACCCGCATGACACCCTAAAAAAACCTTTTTGGTCCGTGTTTAAAACTATTTGCCAATCCCTGATTTTCATCTTAAATCAATTCTTTGTCGCTATGCTACACCAGAAGTGTGTGTCTAGAACAGTCATATCAAGTATCCACATTTAAAGAACCAAATTTTAATTATAGCTTCATGAATAAAATTATATCATTAAATTTATGACACTAAATGATTAAATTAGGTTAGCTTGTTAAGGCAAAGAATACCAGGGCAATTTGGTTTGAAAATGGGTGCATTTCCAGCAGAGCGTTTTAAGAGAATTTGAATAAAAATGAAATACACTCCTGTTAGTAGTTTTGCTTTTGTATCATGTGTTTTAAGAATAAGCTGTGTTTTAGTTTGCCCTAGTTAAAAAAAAATAAAATCTTTCTATGCTTTTTTTGGAAAATCATATGTAAAATTTACTTTAAATCTGTTTGCAGGACCAGTTGCATGGGATGATTCAATATGCGCACAGGAGTGCTCTCCAGGTAAGTGGAAAAAAATTTAATTTTCAGCATTTTGAGCTTTCAGTTTTATTCTTTCTAAAATAATTGAAAAATAAAAGTAAAAGAAAAAAGCACAACAAATTAATTATTATTATTTATTAATTTAATTTTTTTTATTTAATTATTTTACTAGCGAAACCATGTTAATTCTTATTGCCTTTAATTTGAAAACGAGAGATTGTATTCCTTTTTTCAATTCAACTTAATTTATATAGACATTGACGTAGATATTGAGGAGTTTTAAATAATGCCTGCTTTCACTAAAACCAACCTATTTAAAATAAACTCAAGACTTTAGCGCTGTAGAAAAACCTATTATGTTGAACTGATTTCTTATTTTATACAGCTCTGAATATTTACAGAGTGAGTCTGTCTGTAGCATCCTAGGATAATCACCTATTCTATAATTCATATAAAAAAGGAGATGGCACCTTTCAAAACCTTTCGAAACGCCACTCAAAGCCTAAGAGAATAAGCTTTAGTAACGTTGTGTTGTTGACGAAAAAATATGAATTCCTTTCAGTAAGAAAAATTCTATTGCATTTCCTTTTTCGTCGAACGTTAAAAAGAGTCAACATTTCTAAACTGTAGTCTATAATTTCCATCTAGAAGTTGTGATCTCTTTATATATTGATGAATACGTTCTTGAAATGTACACTGTTGTTTCTCAAGCAAGGAAAGAAGAGTTACCTAGTTTTCTTGTGTTAATTATAAAAAATAACATTTTTACATTTCTTTGTTGAATAAGTTAGATATTAGTTTGATATATATTTTATAAAAGTAGACATTTTCGAGTATTAAATTTTAATTCTGTGTAAGAAACAAAACATAAAACTTATTTAACTCTATGAATCATAGCTGATTCTCATATATTCATCTCAGTTTTATAATTAGGCAAATTCAGTTTTAGATTATTCATCTAAAAGTTCTTCCTATTACAAGGGACACTGACATTGGCTCTTTTTCTAAGGAGTAAGGTACTACCCAGAATAACTTGTTGTTGGTACTACCTAGAAATCAATACAGAATGTTGAAGAAAACAGACCTTATCATTCTCCTTTGAGGTGCGTGAAATATCTCTTGAAATGTTATTTCTCGATCAGAAAGAAGGATTCATGTGAGTCTCCCTCGGAATCACAGAAATTTTCTCCCAATAGTTTTGTGACCTGATATATATATTTTCATAATATTTCGCGTGTTATTTAATAAAGAGAAATACAGATTAGTTTTTCTCAAACTGTGCAGCCATTTCCTATGATTTGCTTCTTCTAAAAGAATGAATTTTGCTTATTTTTAACTTCATATAAGCGAGCAAATAAGCGTGTCATATATTCATCATAATGTTTAAATGGCTGGATTGTAGGAAAATGTCCGTACGCTCCATAATTGAATATGCAAATCGTTAAAAGTCATTGTCCAATTAATGGCCTGTTGTGCAGTTCTTTAACAATTTATACAAAAAAAGTTTCTTTATCTTTAAAACTGCTGAAGATCCGTAGAGTAAGTTCTTCATATTTTAGATGAAAATTTCATTTATGACTTAGAAGTAATTTTCTTTTATGCCGTGAATTAATTTAACACATTCATGAAACATGAACTGTTCAACTGTTTATACATTTCGATTATTAATTTGAAAAATATTAATCTAAACGTACTGACACCTAATACTTTAATATACACAAAAGCTTACTTTTAAGTTATCTTAAACATATGATGGCAGATTTTAAAGCATAAGAATAAAATATATTAATATTTAGAAAGCAGACCTTTCCTCTTCAGAAACTATTGTTCTTTCTGTGGTCAAAAGTATATCTACAACATCACCAACTACAATTTATTTCATACATCACTGTAAAAAATTATGTAAAATAAATTCAAAACGAAAATTATGTAATTGTTTGAAAGCACACAGTTTGGCTTTCCCCAAAGCCCATAAGACCATCGCTTGGACTGAATAAAAATCCTTATGCAAATACTCCAGCAATGAAGATGCAAAGGATTTGAAACATCAAGGTCAATTACCGAATAATAAGAAACACGTATCGAAGAGAGTACATAAAGAGAAAATCTAGAAGTCAAGGGCAGTAACAGCCAGTAACAGCCTAACATGACAACGGATGTGGTTCTGTGAAACTTTAATTATGGATTGGATTACAGTTGCTCTGTTTACAGGAATCATACCTTGACTGTGATTAAATAATTATAAGGATTTCAGTTTACATTTGAGCAGATAACGAGTAGAACAACAAAGTTGAGAGAGGCTGTACCATTGGGCGGAAAGCGATCGGCTGATCTATTCGACAAATTGCCTAGCATATGTGTTAGAGCAATGTAACGATTTAGCGCGTTGATGCCACTTGCATTCCAACGATGCAGGTGCCAGTTAGATCCGTTCGATGGATGGCCTGGAGAAGAGAGAACGGAAAAAAATATCACCGCTTGAGTAAACGCACATCTGCGAAACTTATGTCACCGTTTACATGCCAAGATGAGTCCAATGGAATCGTTACACGATGATTTTGGAACAGTCACTTCATTACACAAGGCCAGTTCGTCGCATGGCTATTACCATTGATCCAATGAACATCGCTAGCAATTTTGTATTAGAAATGGTTAATTATCATGAAGTAAAAATCTTTGTTTGAATACTGCATTCAAGCGAAACCAAGAGACTGTAAGCTAATAGAGATCCTTTAATGATTTTCTTAAAGTAAGACACTTTTGGTACAAGCTAAGTGGAATACTCTCCAACACCTAAACAATTATACTGTATTAGTTTAAGTAAAATTATAATATTTATCCAAATATAAAATTAAATTTCAAAGAAATATGAATGGTAATACTTTAAGCAAATTTGGATCAATTGCTTTCCAATTCTCTAAAAACTAAACTCAGTGGCGTAAACAGCCCTAATGGGCCAAGACCTGCAGTGCCTCGAAATCTGCTTTCTTGACCGTGGGCCCCGGGGTGCGTAAGCATATGCCCTGAACAAGCGGTCAGCTTGTCGCAGGACCCCCAGTGTTTAGTCCCCAAGCGAACTCTGTACTCAGTTTATCGACCCAAGGGATGGAAATCAAGAGATAAATGAAAAAACGAAATACATAGCAAGCTTCCTTGCTTGCTATGTATTTCGTTTTATCATAGCATGAGAAGTTATTTTATTAATTGTTTATCAGCTAATAGATGCACGTTTTTGAAACAAATGTAGAGAAAACTAGCAAAATAAGATTTGGGCAACTCAGTATATGTATTGGAGCCAATGACAGCATGACAAGCAATCATTCTAGGTTAAATAAGACAGCAAATATAATTTAATAGCATCGGATCATACTATTTACGTATACCCAAACAAAGTGATTCAGATTCCCAGTTAAAAAAAATAAATTCCTTATTACCTTGATACTGTGGTTATCTGTTAAATGCTCGTAGACCTTACCTCAAAACGAAATTCCGAGGAAAATTCATGAACTAGAAAACTATTGCCAAGAAGCAAGTAAACATACTGTTTGATGCAGTATGTCTATGTGAAATTCTGAAATTAGAATTTTATGTTTATTATTTCATAAATTTTATTCAGAATTCTGCAACATACAGTTGTCAACTACATGATTTACCAGTTGTTAATAATGTACAACACAGACAAGTTGCTGTGTTTGTTTGAAGTTATCCTTGTATTTCATATAGTAATATAAAATCGGTAATAGATAAAATGCACGTCTCATAAGCATACCTAATAAAAAACTAAAACATATTTTCATTTTATGGTGTAACTTAAAATTTGACATGCAGCTTTGTTTATTAATTAATATGACATTAAATTAAATTATTCCCTATTCGGTATAATTCTCAGAGCAAATATTTAAAAATTATTTTTGTTATTCTTATGTAAGTTAAGAAATTAAACTTTAAACCGAAGAAAATTATTCATAATTTATAACAAAAGGGTTAATAACATGCTCAATACAAATGAAAGAGCAAATGGTATTACACTCAAAGGGTAGAAACTATTAGACTTTCGGGAGTGGAAATCGGCTGTGCTCTTACTCAGATCTTTTGTTTGTTAATTTACTTACCCCAAAAAAGTATACAGGAGGTAACGTAATTTTTACTATATGACATACTATTACAAATAGATATTTTGTAATGCAAGTTTTCATATATCTGAAGTGTGGTGCACTTAAGAAGTAAAAAGATAGATCCAAAGCTTCTTATTTTCTTAATGTTTTTATAAATATTAAAAAATTTCGCTTATTTTAATATTGTCAAAATTTTCCTTACCTGGTGTAATTAGATGCTTTTTAGCCGCAAGACACTATTGCATGTTTAAATAAGTAACAAAAAATTGAATACTAAAATGTATGCCACACATGCAACAACGCAAGAAAATCATTCATATTGTTTAATATAATTACGTGTACTACAGACAAAATAAAAAAATTAAATTAAACTTAAATTTCATATTCTTAAAAAGAGATATGAAGATATGACTCAAGGAAGCATGATAACAAAAATATGTTCCACCCTCATCAAAGCGTGAAAATCTTGAAATTTCGGACACATCCAACAGTCCTTAATGAAGAGGAAAAACAGTTAAAACGTTTCCTGACTTTTTTTACTAAGGACTACTGGACTTCTCACTTTTGATTGAGAATTCCTGGATGCGTCAGAAGATTTGAATACTCTCAAGCTATGAAATAGTGTCAAACATTTCAGTAGCTTACTCATGATTTAATGGATCTCTGTTTGAAAGTACTTTTATTTCTAATCTATCCAAAAGTTAAAGAAGTAAAACTGATCATTAAATAACAAAAGCAGAAATACATATTGAGCTCTCATAAATTAAATATAATATTGCAAAATTCATTACATAAGAAAATATGATTTTAAAAAATTGAAATAATTAATTTTGAAGTATTTTAAATTTTCAAATGCTTTTCTTTGACTATGCAATGTTAGATTTTGAATAATGACCGAATAATGTTATTTTTCCGAATAATGTTTAATCTTATTCGAATAATGTTTACCTTTAATATGTGGACAGATAATTTTTTGTAACTTTTGTGAAACCTGTATTAAATGTACTATAATACGCTTATCTAATAATATGTCCTTCGGCAAATTTTAAATTTTAATGACAGTAGGCGCAAAATAATGAAATTGAGTAGATTTTTTATTTCTTATTTTCTAATAATAACATTTTTTTCAGGCTCAAAATATCAGTATTCTGAAGATACTTCATATATTTATTCTTATGAATCGTCCAATGAGCTTCATGTTGAAGACGCGTCGGATCTGTCCCTGAATCTGAAGGCTACTGTGCACCTGACAGCTAAATCAAAATGTGAAATGATTCTACAGGTATTACAACAGTATACTTTTAAATTCCTCTTTAGAACTTCTCTTGGCTAATTCTAAACATTTTAAAAACGAACCCTAAAAGTCCTTTGGTTAAGTTTCTGTTGAGCAAACAAATTGGTTAGTGGGACTGTTAAAATGGATTAATACAACAAATTTCAGTTTGTGATTTCATACTCATTATTCAAGTACTTTAAAAAGTAATCGAATATTTCATTTGACTAGCCCGAACACAGCTTACGTTTATCAATTAAAATGCTATTTCAGTTTTAGATATCACATTCAATTAATTCGACCAGCCGGATTTCAAGGCCTTTTGTTGGTACTAGAAAATAATCAATAATGAATCCTCTGACTATTCTTACAGTTAGGATTTATTTATTTGATTATGGCAAAGCACTCGAGGGATATCTACCTAAGGGAAGAAAGGAAACTGGCTCGTATAAGCGTTACACATGGGCAAAATCACGGAAAAGATCCATGCAGCAAAGCCTGTTCGCCGGGATTAGAACTTCGAAATGAATTACCAATATTCAGTGAATTTTCCTATTCGTATGATATTGAGCAAAATTTTTAAATGTGTTTGTGTGTATATATGCATTTTGCATTGTCATTGGAAACACCTTGTCATTCGGGCTAAAACTAATAAAAAATCCTCAAATATGCAATAGAAATACATGAAACTGAAGGAAATCTAATTTATAACTTATAAAAAAATTAGGTGAGGAAAAATCTTTGATCGCTCAAAGCATCCATTACGAAATTTTATCACAACTTTGCAATTCTAGGTGCTTAAAAAGCAGTTTTAAGTATTCACTGTGTAATTTCTTTCAAGTCATTAACTAGACTATGATTCTCTTATGCTCTAAAGGTTAAGATTCGGATTTCCGTTCGAGCTTATTACATAGAAACTAAGTCATCAGTAGTAAACCTAACACAAATTATCGTAAAGTTTGCCGACGCTGCTGAATCACAAAGATTTGTGGCCAAAGCTGTTACGGAATAGCTGTGAGTGCAAGTCTTTAAATTTTTCCTCCTTTCTTCAGTCAACTGAATATCCATGGTCCGCATATCTCATGCACATTCTTAAGTTCTTGACCTATACAGAAACATATCGTAGCTTTTGATTGCATGAATTCTGAAGTACAAGTCAGTACAAAATTTCCCTCTGAAAAGGTTTAAAAAAGTTATGCAGATTGGTAAGACGGTATGCGATTTTACGCGTAAATGAATCACAAGAAAGGCAAAATTTTAAAGGCGAGTGGATAGTAATGTTTAATTCAAATAGGGTACAAATTGCTCGGCAGCAATTTCACAGTCAAACTGGCCTTATTTTCTTCTATTAGTTGATAAGCTTAAAGAGAACTTTTATGATATATAAGTAGTTTCTTGCAAGTGATAAATCATTTTTAATGCTACTGTAATTGTAATCATTACTGCCGATATAGTACGCCGAATGTCTTGTACTAGTGAAGCGCTGAATTAAATACCTTTCCTCGAGGCCCCCCCTCACAATTTTTTTTACTATTTATTTTAGAGTAAACCTTAGTAAGTGTTGTTGTACGATAATTATGTAGCGTTTCCTTTAGCTTACAGATGTAACAGTGCAGCATGGAACGTCTTCATTGGCCGAGCAGTTGATGAGAAATCCTCTTCCATTTTCTTTTAATGATGGCCTAATCGACCACATTTGTCCAAATCCCCAGGACTCAGATGATGTAAATAATATTAAAAGAGGGATATTGTCTTCCATCCAAAATACTATGAAAAGATTCAACTATCATTCTTTTCAAAGAGAAGTATGCCTGTTTATAAATTTCACTCTAACGTCTTACACGACTACTAATTCCATTTACGGTAAATTACTTTTCATTTTTATTTTAGAAAGATATTCTTGGGACATGCGATACTGAGTACAAAGTTAAGGAAGAAAATGCTGATAAATTTGTCATTGAGAAGAACAAACACATTGGAACTTGTTCTAATCGCCTTAAAGGACAAAGTCTGCTTTTAGCTTCATCCTACGAATCTGCCACGGTAAAAAGTTTTGACTTATGATTATTAATTTCTAGCTTGTTAATGCTAGATTTAAAATGAGATTTTTTACTACAAAGTATAAAAAAGTTACTTTATTAAGAATAATTGTAGGAATGTATTTCAATATGAAATAATCTCACGCCTTCGTTAATTATATGTTTGAGTCTTTCTAACCACGTCATTTACGATGCTGGCCTTTCTAATGGAAAATAAAGACTATGTGCGATTCAGTACTTTAAAGGCATTGAATAAGCCTTTTCCTGTTATTTTATTGTGAATGAAAATATTCCAGAATCTGAGAATTCTTTTCAAGATTTCTGGAAGCTTTTTTTGAAACTTGTCTCCGATGATGCAGATACATTTCGATAGTAAGTTAATATCAAATGTGTCTATACTCTATAAATTAAAGAAGTACTAGGATAAAATATGAAGATTATCCATGGCATGATCCTGCATATTATAGAGCTGCTGTTCCACTTTTGTTACAGTTACAGCCCCACAATTTATGCAATGAAAAGAAATTTCTGCCACATTTGAGCATCTGTGACAGAAATTTTCGAAGCTGGGTAAAGATCAAAGCTAAAATTAAGAAGAACCTTTGGTGGAGTGCCAATCCTAAATCTCTGAGGAAGTAAAAAAAAAGTAATGTTTTGACAAATGGTTTAAAACGTTTACCTAAAATGGTCTTTTTGTTTTGTGAAACCACTATTTAGAAATGTTATTTCTTATCAGCAGGACCAGAGCTAGCCCTTTTTTCCGCCTAGTGTAAACTCTGCGACTCGGAAATTCTACCGTCTGGCTATTCCAAAAGCTTAAATTTTTCCTGCTCCTAAATTAGCCGCTCAGTGCAGGTTCCGGGGTGGCATTGGCTCTAGCCCTGGCCCTGAATAGCCGAAATTAGGTGAATTTCAAGCTCTGCGTTTTTTCACTTAACGTGTAGTGCCGTATGAGTATTTTCATTGAGATATGATCAACCAGAAGTGATGAAACTTTTCGATCCAAGGTTTGTCCAGAAGCAGTGGCCAAGCAAGTCACTAAAAGCGTTAAGATAACATCATTTTTCATAACACTTAGTGCATGTACTTAAAAAAAGCAAATAAATGGAATAGAGAATTGCGACTAATCAGCTTAAACAGTACAGATTCCATAGCGAAAAGTATTAAGCATGAAAGTTGCAAGAAATGAATTAAAATTTATTTTTCTCTCTTTTGTTTTAGTTCTTGGTTAAAACGGCTAATTCATTCGAAAATTAGTAATGCCTTTAATTTGTGCTTTTTATTTATTTTAGATGCTTTATTATTTGTAATTTGAACGATATCTAACGCATCTGTTTTTCATTATTAAGAAATCTACTTCTTAAGTTTTGCAGGGCTGCTTACATATTAAGTACTTGATGCTAGAACGCATACCACTTACTCTTTGTTCTGTCTACATTTTAATGTATGTAATCAATAATATAATAATATGAGTTCAGACAAATACGTATCAGATTTATTAGGTTTGTCAGCCTTTGGATACAATTTTATCCGTAGATCACATCAGTCGGTTATATATCGTTAAGAATTTCGATGTTTTCATGCAATTTGTAAAATAGTCTCAATGGAATATAAATATGCGGTGATATATTTTACCAGCAGAAATTCACGCAGGATGAACAATTATTAATTTTTGCTTCGTTAAATAAGCAAACAAAAAAAAAAAGGCTAGAATGTTAGGAAAATAAATTATATGCGTATACTTCTAATTATATTAAACGAGGTTACAGAATATGCAGAACATAAGGAATGACATGAAGAAAGGCATGGAAAATGATGAAAGACTAAGGTATTGACTTTTTTCTTTCAGTTCCGACAAAATTTGCCTTTCTTTTCAAATGAAAAAGTATCCTGTACTCAAACAATTGATAATGGCATCGTGGATGAAGTAGTATGCTCAGAAACTGCCAAATTTAATCCACTTACAGATTACGGATTTGTAATTCAAGCTGTAGGAAATTCTAAACTGAAGAAACTATCAAGTGGACCAGCAGTGTTTGTGAACTGTAAGTGCCTAATTATATTGACAATTATATCTCAAAATATTGCATTTAGACTATTTAAATATCTTTATAATAGACTACTTAAATGTATCAAACTCTTTTATGTGAGATTATCTTACAGGCAAGGTAATTTTACCCTTGTTAAAACTACCAAGAAAAACGCAGTCCTCTTAAATATTGATTGTCTCATATTTTAAATATGAGTCAAAAGATAATTTTCAATAAATCTTTTTTCATTTCCGAATTTTAATAAAGAATGCAATGAAATTCTTCTTATCAAAACATGAAAAGTTTATTTTACGAGAAGTTTTGAACAAATGATCTCTAACAAAATAATTTTTATTTAACTTTCATTTGACTTTGAACCGCTCCTAAAACTGTTTACCATTAATGGAATGTAAATATTACCTGCAAGTTCATATGACAAGTAAGCTGAGTTTAAAATAATTAGAATACCAGAATAGATTTTTTATTTTTCTAATTTGTTCTTGAATTATTTCATTATTCTTATGTCAGCCACTTACGAAAGCTTTTTAAGCTAATTGTAGAATTTGAGCACATTTCGATTTATTCATGGTAATGAAAAACAATGCTTGTGTTTATTCCTGTGACTATTAAGAATCACTTCCTGTTCGAAAAGAATTTTTCTCCCTCACTATGTTTAAGTCCGCTTACATTTCGATGTTACTAAATCATGGGAGATAAGGCCTGAGACATTTTTCACCCTCGCCACTCTGAAAGATAGGAATTTAAGATAATACAATGAGAGAATCGGGACTGAAAGCGTTGAGAGGTAGGATAAACATGCTTCGCCTTTATATAGTGTAAACTACCAAAACTATATTCTAAGCCGAGGCTAAGGTATTAAGCCTCAAATGTTTGATTTAAAATAGAATTTTATAAATAGAAAGCTGAATATCATTACATGTTACAGATGTCAAATGTGTTTTATCTCAGTCTTAGCAAGCAAGCACCAGTTAGAGTCTTAACGGAACTCCTTGAAGAAATGAATAATTAAAGTAAAAAAATATTAGTCAAGATGGCTTTCATGTTTCGCTGTACACATTCAGTGCTATTTTTAACTGGCTTAATTCCTTTCAGGGTACTTAACTATGAAGGAAACTCAGTTAAAAATGAACTTACGCGGCCATCTCAGACTGTAAGCATGTTTGACAGCTTTATTTCTTGCCAGTAATTAGGATATTATTCTTAAAAAAACAAGACCTATTTCCAAAAGATAAAACTATAGATATGAATGCCAAAAAATAGGGCATCACTCAACCTTAAGAGCATCAACCAAAATCAAGGTCTGCTTATGTTGTGACCTTTTAAACTCGAAGTAGGGCATGGTTCAGAAGTCAAGAAGATTGCTTCTCACTATCACGTGCACATTATGAGAAGCTTATTTTATCATAGATATTACGTAAGATAAATATGTAAACTAGGTTATTCTCACGACTGTAATGAAAATATTTCATTCGAAAAGTCAAAATTTAAATTTTTCTCATCCGTGGATAAATTTTTCAGCTGATACAGCAACTGAAAGAGATTTTGATTTTAAATTATTAACTTAAGTTAACGTTCCTATATTTTTAAATATATTTTCATATCATAAATAAAACTATTTCTTAGTAACTAGAAAAGAGGATTTTAAATAACTTAATGAATTAAATTAAATTCAGCCTAGAATTGTAGTAGTATGAGTGCATTATAAACTAACATTTCATCTTGTATGTATATATAATGCGAAAATAACCTTCTTTTGCAGACAAAACGCCAATAAAAGAGAGCCTTACTTTCAAGCATGATATCCGATCTCGAAAAGATCCTGATTCAGTATCAGCAGCTTCTGATATTTTGCGGCATATATGCCAATATTCAAATGAGTTACTTTCCAAGGATGCAGCAACGTACGTTCATAAACTGGTTTACATTATTCGACAACTTGACGAGCAGGCATTAGAAAGCTTGTACGTTAATTTAAAGAGCAAACAGCTGTGCACATCTGGAAAAGCTTTGTAAGTTTGCATGCTTTTTTCCCCCTTAAAATATAGCCTTTTCGGTTGAAAATATTGAGAGTTGTTTCAAATTATGAGACTTCGCGTTTACATATCTTGCTTTTTAACAAGCAATTTAAATGCGCATTCTTAAGAGGACCGTCAATGTACTCACTCCTCAAAGCAACAGAGATATGTACTCATTCTCATCGAAATTGTCTAGCTTTTAAGCGTTAACCCTCTGAGCGTTATGACCGGGTTTAGGCGGTCAAGACGGCCTATCTCGAAAGCGTTACCGACGCTTCTAGGCGGTCACTGCAAAAGTGCTCGAAAGCGTTACTGACGGTTCTAGGCGGTCAGTGGTGAAGACCTCGAAAGCGTTATGACAACCTTAAAGCGGCCGTTCAGATGTCTCCCGGCCCCCCTTATTTCTGGAACCTTGGAGATCTCTAAATGACAACTCTCAGTAGGAGTTTAAGAGCGTTGATCTTCTTTTAGACGTACGTTTTATCGCCATAAATTGTTTAGAGACTCAATAAATTGACGCGAACATTTTCACTAAATAAATAAGTAGCATGTAAAAATATCCCAATACTATGTTTTAACCAATAACATTTTCATAAAATATCCTTTAGATTTCAAACTAAATGCTCATAAATATGCAAAATGCTTGTGAATTCAATTAAAAAATAGCATTTCAAAATATTTGCATTATTTAAATAAATTTACTTATGATTATGTAGATGCATAAAACCGGCAAGTTAAAAACTTTCAATTAATTCGCGCGAACCAAATAGTACTGCATTCAGTTAACCTGAATTACAGGCAATTGCATATAAAGAACAACATAATAAGTCAGATAAAAATTAGAAAATCAATAGTCTATTTTAATAAGTTATAATAAGCGTATTCTTGATAAGGGTTTATAAAACACAAACTAATTTAATAGTAAATATAATAATAACGACTTAATTATTTTTTTGGAACAATACTCGTCGCTTATACTGGTTTGCTGAAGTTTTGTTCTAACGCATTTTAAATAGTCCAATGCTTTTAATGTACATTGATATGAATGTGATTTTTATTAGAAAATATCTTAATAAGTTTGATTTTCTTGTGTGCTCATGCTTCACGTAATATATATTACTTTAATAGGCTAAAATGTGAGAAATCCTTACTTTTACATGTACAAGAGCGAGACACTATGTCTAAGGCTCATTACACTTCGCAATTCATTATTTTTTATTCAATTCATTATTAAGAAAAATTTCATATTTTATTGATTATTGCCAGAGTTGTTGGACAGGTTTTAGTCAAGCTCGGTAAAGACATCGATTTATATAATATTAGGAAATACACTGTTCAACACTAATGATATACACGCATGATCGTGCTCAAGCACCTGAGAAAGCGGAGGTTGCGAACAAAAAAAGATGCTAATAGGATATATGATTTCCTCTGACACTTACATAGCTGTCACAGCACGAGCTTATACTGGAAATGAAGCAGTTTATGAGTTCTTGAAGTAGTCAATCCCTTTCCTGCATGAGAATGGTTTCAATGTCCTGGAATGTTCTGGGATAGCAAAAATTGAGCTGCAGTTCCTCATTTAAGGGCGTCTATACATGTTCTATAGGGTTTAAATCTGAATATTGGACTGTCCAATCCATCCAACTAATATGTTCACTATGAAAAATGATTTTTTCTTCCTTTGTGAACAAGCGTTGTCATCCATAAAATTGAGTTCAAACTTCATAACTGAAAAGGCGACCTCGCGGTGGTCACAGCCTCTATCATGAAGATCTGTACGCCTATCCAACGTGATGCCTTCCCTGACCATCAAACCTACGTTGCCGTACTCGTCTCTTCCTCGGGTATTGGATGACAGATAGCGGTCCCTGTTTCTTTCTAGATGAAGGCATTTCAAGGATCTGTGATTAGGATGGATCGGAACTAATCTGTGAAGATACCTATAGCCCACTGCTACTTCATCCGAAGTCGCTGATCTCTCAACCCTGTTAAACGGGCTAGGTTTTAAGCAGAAGTGAGCGTAATTCAAACAGAAGTTTTTGCAAGTAGATGAGATTTTAGAACCCTATATTGGCCTTTTCAGAACTGCAGGTGGCCTTCAGGTCATTTTTATGAACAACAGTGCTCATCTGCATAGAGCTAATCTGGTGGATGATTTTCTGTAAAATAATGATATTAACCGGCGGGATTGGCCAGCCAGATCTTCAGGCCTAATCTTATAGAACATACCTAGGACGCTGTTGGAAAACAGTTGTAAACTGCCCTACAAGAACCCTTCAGGACCTAAAAACGAAGTTTCAGGCGTGAAACGGACTGCTACAGGGACTCGTTTTCAGCACCTTTTGTTCGATCCTGTAAATTATGTTTCAGACATTCCTGTGACGATGAACCTTGCTCACGATCATGAGTGTATACCGTGACGTATATTAAGTATACCGTACAGTATACTATTTGTATTATCTCAAACTATGCCTATAACAAATTTTATTAAAATCTGTCAATCGGTCCTAGAAGAAATCTGCCACATGGGAAAATTTTCTTAATTTTGAGCGCTAGTTTGGTATGGCAGTATGACATGTTAAATAGCGTGTAGTTTAGTTCATTATTATTTGATTTAGTTTTGGTGTAATCTCACTGCATAACGTATTAATTAAACGTGTCTCTATTTAGTATGTTATAGAAATATTCTATTTTATGTAGCATTCATTTTATCTGCAGCAATGCAACTAGTACCCAAAGTATTGCTAATATATTCAAGGTTCATTTTTGCAATTTAATTTTTTTCTTACTTTAAAAGAACTAATATTAATAGTAATTTTTTTTTCAAAATCTGTTTGATTAGATATGTTCCTAAAAGAAAACAGTGATATTTGAAAGTTTTTGAGTAGAGAGACATTTTGCCTACTAGATTTTTTATTATTATTTTGAGCTTTCTCAAAACTTCTTTCAGCCAAACTGTAGTAATTGGCAATGTTAAAAATATTTTTAATGCACTTCAAAATTCAGATATGATCGGCCTGCACTAAATTCCTGAATCATTTCTAAAAGATCTGATTATACTTTAGCGACCAGCGTTGTTGAAATAGCATAATTTTTGAAATTAAATATTTATGATGAAATATCCGAGCATTTACACCATTTGAATATTTAAATGCTAAGTTGCTCTTCTGAAATACTTAAATTCAATGACACTAATTTTCAGCAGTTAAAAATTGAGAATCGGAAGCTAACTCTTTTTTTTTTTTTTTGTATGCCCAGTTTAATTGTGATTTTAAAATACCTACAACTTCTCTCATTTCTACTGCGAAACGATATTTTTCGAGAAAATTAGTTCTTTTAGCGACTGATACATGACAATCTAATTAACACATTCTGTTGATATGTTCATTTTTGGGTAAATTTTCACGTATCTTATATAAAAAGAAATAATACTTCTACTTGTAATAATACATATAATCAGTATACACTTAATTCAATATGGCAGATCATAAGAGGGCTAATTGTCTAAGGAGTTGAAATGATTTTCTTAACCAGGGTACTAATTTAATGTATTATATAAATTTGAGGCATTCATACAAATATAAAGCATTAATAACAAGCTGGAAATTAAATAAAATACGTATTAATGATTTTTCTGTCTGGTTTTAAATATTATATCATTAGTAATTAATTAGGATTTTGATTTCAGTCGCTTTATTCATTAAAGAAGAGCAGTCGAGAGTGTAAGCGCTCGAAAATGCAACGCCCTTTTTACTGCTTTTATATTTTAAAATGCGGCTTTTCAATATGTTTCAAAACTGGAAGTTAACAATAATAATTTATTTTTAATGTAATATTTCTAAGCATTTTGAGCTAATTTGACGCCTCTACTAGCCGTTCAACTAAGGCAAGAGCCTCATTTGCCTTGCTCTTGTTCCGACTTTGGTAATAGCCAACAACTTGAATTATTTGCTTGCTTTTTTTAGGCCAATTTATTTAGACGCGTTAAAAGCAGCTTCTTCTGGAGGTTCCATTGCGCTGTTAACAAAACTGGCCAAAAATGGGGAACTAAGTGGTCTGGATTCGAAAATATGGCTGACTTTGCTACCCTTCACTTCGTATGTAGAAGAGGAATCCATAGCCGCAGCTCTAGTACGTTTACTTTTTCTTTAAGTTTTCTTACTTTTATTTTTCATTTCAAAAATGTACTCATATTCTAGAAATTTGACCACAAGGCCGTCTTTAGGGAGCTTATTCCTGTGTATGGCTTTACTTTATTGCTTTAAATGAGTTATGGCTACATTGCTTTAAATAAGACTCCCACAGATATTTATTTTGCTTCCTTTCAAATTGACTCAATAAAATTTCCAACTGAACGCAGACTTTTAAGAACTCTATATTGCACTTATGTTTTACCGGTGATTAATTTTTCAAAGTAGGAGTGCCGGAGCCCTTTGGAAGGTAATCAGGAAAGCAATTTCTTAAAATAATAATAAACAAAAATAAGTATTGGTTAACTAAAAAAGATAAATAAAATTATAAAAATTAAGGGAAAACAAATTAAATATGAATGAATTAAGGACAACAATCTAAAATACCCATTTAAAATAATTTTAAACTATGTTATTCATGCTTAAATAAAATACCTTTGTACTTTGGTATCTTCTTCACTTGGAGCTTTTTTGTTCGGGTTTCAATTATACATCAAAATACTTTTGTTCGTCTTGCTCGGGGCTCCACGTTTTTGCACTCCGGATGAATTTTTAATTGCGCTCAAAGAATGAAACACACCAGAGCCGAGCACCGACAAAATTTATATCTTGGTTACAAGATTCTGACAAAGATTCTTTTGAAAAAAGTTATTTTTGCAGTAATTTCACTAGAAATATTTCGAGAAAAGTCAGATTTATTGTTGATAATGTATGCTATAAACTCAAGTTAGTAATTTCGAACATTTTGAATTTTCATGCAACAAGGGTTCAATTAACTGTAGTTTATTATTTCAACCTGCATTTTAGATAAATGTGCATATTAAATGATAACTTCTATATGCAATGAATTAGCGCAATAGCATAATATTTACTTAGTATCTATTTTGTTTCTTAGGTATCGGGTGTAAAATTTCAAATTGATGCATAAATATTGCAATCTACCTGAGAATTCCGGAAGTAATAAAAATATCCTATTAGTTCGAATAATAATATAAGGTGGCGTCAAAGAATCTGTGAGTTCTATATGTTGAAAGTGTTATACAGGAAGGAAAATAAACATTATGAATATTGTACTTTAAGACAAAAAGTACATTTAATTTTTGAAATTTAAGGATATTTTAAACAACATACCGTTAACAACACATTAAGTATTACTTAAGTTTTGTTGAAAGATATGAATGGTAAAAACATCTTAGCATTTACTTACGTAATTCTTCTTTATTTTTCCCGTAAGCTTATCGCTTGTAAATGGAAAGGGGAAATTTACGCGTTGTATACTACGTATTTCAAATAGAAGGCATGAAGGACGAAATTTTAAGAGATACACATTATGATGATTATTTTACGGGTATTTTAAACAAGAAAAATCATATTACGAGTACATTTGAGCAAATACAATTTTGCTTTGGTTATAAAGAAGACCTTATGATAGGTTTTTTTTAGTCAAATGTTTCATTAAGAGTTCTTTACGAGTATATGTAGTCACTTGGAAGAATTTGGAAGTCTCCAACGGCTATTCATGCGAATTGTCTGGATTATTTTCTTTTCTCAAAATATGTTATGTTTTTGATATAAAACAAAAATTTCGTGTCATATAAAAAGATAATTCTGTGAAAAAAAGCATAATTGTGGATTTTTCCTTATTTTGTTGATTGGCTTTCCATTTTAGGGAATTGCTGTTTTTTTCCTTATCGCACATTTCGCGTTCAGACTGATAAACCTGCTTTGTTAATCATAAAGTTTGTCTTTTATGCATTAAGAACGTAAAATTTAAATGTGTTACATTCGGTGCTATTGCTTATAAGCATCGTTTTCATTACTTTCTGTGTAAGGAAGTGCAAAGATAGGTATTACGGTAACAAAACGTGCAAAGGAGAGATCTATTGTAATGTTAAAGTAGACAGACAGTACAGGAAACGTAAATTATAATACAGTATAAATTTATCCCCGTGAATTCTCTTGTTCGCAGGGTTTGTCTTCGATATTCACACACTCATAGGGTCTCGGCTGGTCACTCAAGCACAATTTGCTATAAAATTCTTTATTTTCATTAATTTCGTGGCAAATGTCTTTTATGAATTGAATCATACCAAAAGCAGCATAAAGCTCTCTGTACCATATCTTATTAATGACGACACTCTAAGAGAAAAATCTACAGAACTAAGATCCTTAGATCTTTGTGATCAGTTAATCGACTTATCGAGAACTATTGGTCAAATAAGTTACACATTACAACCACATATTAACTACTACACAGTTATATGCTTTTCTTTGAACCTCCCATTAATTAATGTGAGATTCTTTCGCTGTGTTGATTTTAATTTCCAGCGAATCAGGAAAGATTTGAAACAAATTCTTCCTTTTTAAAAAATACTTGTAATACCTAAAGTTTTAAGTTAGATAAGAGTATTCCCTAAAATTACAGAATAAGAAGTATATAACTTTCTAATGCAAATTTTTTACAATAAGCATTACCTGAAATATATTTCTGGTTTTGGAGTTTTATCATCGATTGAGGTAGGACGTCCTGAAATTAAATATTTTGTACATTAATCACGATTGTAGTTTAAATGAATTCAATGTTTTTTTCTCTGTTACAACAGCCTTTGTTGGGCAAAGAAAAGAAACACCAACAAGCTTTACTTGGAATCTCGGCTTTAGCTTATAAATTCTGCTCGAGTCACCAAGACTGTGAATCTAACAAAGCCATTCAAGATCTGTCATCTCGTCTGAAGGAATTCCTTGGAGACAAATGCCGTACTTCAAGCGCTGACGAAGAATGGCAGGTAAATATACTACTGTTTTAGAGAAATAGTTCTGTTCTACTAATTAGAGCAGAGAAATAGATTTGTACTACTTAATATTACTAATGGCATAAAGCAATGTTTTCAGCTAATATAAATTATAGTCTTATCAAAACACTCCTTAATAAGGCTGACCTAATTTTTTTATAATTTCCTTTAAAGTTATATCATTTGCATATAAATGAAGTTAACACTATAAAGAATTATGATTTTTTAGAAATTAACACTTAATGAAAAAGCGCGATTATTACAAAAACATTATTGAAATCAAAAGCTAATGAATGCATTAATTAAAGAAAAAGTCATTTAACTGTAGGTTGGGATTTTTTATTTTTGGTACTGAAAGCAATAAATTAAAGTGTACGAAGTAATATCCAGGCTTGAGAATAATAATCTTTTAATAGCATTTCTAGATTTCCAAAAGAGTAGTAGGTTTGCTTACTAAAATTGTCTCAACTACAAGCTACTGAACTTCATTTTAACACTGAATGTTTAATTCTATAACATTACTGGATATGTATAAAATAATTTTAATATTTAAAAATGCTTTGATTTTAGCATTTTCAATTGCTTTCATCCCTCTGATTTTTTACCAATGATTACAAATAGCTCTCAAAGATTCTTTGATAGCTAAGATTCATTTTGGCGTGAGCCTATGAGCCTAAATAGCAAAAGCAGAATTTTGTAAATTTATCTAAATATAGTAGTATAAAACAAATGATACGTAATCTTTATTCAGTTATGTTTAAAATATTATCATAACTATCACAAAACACCATTTAAATTATATGATATTATGCTCCCAATACTTTTACACTAAACGATTACGTAGTATCTTAAATATTGTTTAAGTTATACCATATTATATGCAATTACACATATTCTAAATCAAGCTGTAATTAATTAATACTATTAAAAAGAAGCAAATTTAGCTTATATTTTGAATAAAACAAGCCGTAATTCTTTAATTTTAAAGAATTTCCTTGAAATTATAGAATTGTAAGGCAGATAGAATTCTAAGGATAGCAGAAGATAATGAAAATATGCTACCTATGCCTACTTTCTCAAAAATAATTATTTTCGAAAAAGGATATTTCTAAGAATGTGTTATATAATGTGATATATTAAATTTTATGAAGGAAGTGCATCCCACGATATTTTTAAATTCTTGAACAAACTTTGTAATGTATTTTTTCCTTCTACAAAAGCAAGAGTAAATCGTATCGTTAATGATGTGAACGAAACCATTTCTGAACGTAAAAATTTGTTACAACTGCAGAATATGTATGATTGTTTTCTAACTGTTATGTTAATGAGGTTTCTAATATTCATGAATTTCCTGATAAACTTCAGACCAGAGATAGATGTTTGGTTTGTAAAGTGCTCACTTAGACTGACAGCCTTGCTGAACTATGCCTACAAATTAATAAAAATTGTGGAGGAACTTGAATTGCCGGGTACTCGTAGATTAAATTATTTCACCTGCACGGTTATCCTTAGGCGAAAATGCACGTTAAAACAAGTAGAACTATACGGATGGATACCTATAAACCAAATATCTCTGAAAACCAAATGAAAAAACCTATAACTACACTTATAAGATATTTCTTCCACTTCCCTACTTGCCTTCGTGGTTCTGCACGCTGAGCCGGTATTCCAGAGGTCCGTGGTTCGATTCCCGGTGAAGGCGATTGCTTATTTTTCATCTTGCCTGACTCCAAAAATATACTTATGTCTCTACAGTGGCGCCCGAACTAAAAGGGTGTTGGATAAGGTTTCTCCACGCCCAGGACTTGGCGATTGGGTTCCCTGAAAACCCCAGTCGCCCTTTAAAAAGGGGAGTATATAAGGTATTTGTCCCCCTTCCCTAGCGTACCTTCGTGGTGTAGTGGTTCTGCATGCTGGGGCGTTATTCCAGAGGTCCGTGGTTCGATTCTCCGTGAACGCGATTGCTTATTTTTCATCTTGCCTGCTTCCAAAAAATCCTAATGTCTCTACACACTGGCGTGCAAAATTAAGAGAATCTGCACATTATATCGAATTTCGGAAAAACTAATGGACAGATTTTAAAAGAAATTTGGTATGAATATACATTTATAACAGCGAAAGAGATGTGCCGTTCAGAGGTCATTTTATGTACACATGATTATATATGTAAAGCTCATAGTGCAAGGATGTCCAAAATTTGTGTTATCGAATTGAAAATGAGTATAATATGAGGTGTGGTCCCCTCTCACAGCTAGACAGATCCTTCAGCGTGACCGCATACTGGACAGGTGGTATTTGAGATGTTTGAGAAGTCCTATGGCAGTCAATACTACTCCTGCAGCAAGGCAGGTTTCAACTCTGGGATGATTCTCGGAGCGGGAGAGCGAGATGAAACTGCATTCCCAAGAGTGTCTCAGACATGCTCTAAAGAATTAATATCAAGTGATCTGGCTTTCCATTATATGCGGCGAATATCCTCACTTTCCATCTAATCGTCGACGAGCTGAGCCCTATGTGGACGAGCGCTTTCGTCCATTAATAGGAACAGAAGATAAACCGTGCCCCTGAAAAGTCAAACAAAAGACTCTAAAATCTCCTCTCGATACCTCATGGCAGTCAGGGACACTTCGTCAAACACATGTGTGGCTGTTCAAATAACGCCTGCTCAAATCAATATGCATTTACCACAGTAATAATCTTTTTCCTTGGTGAAGGAGAGAGGGTATTGTATTCCAGACTCTCTCCGGTTGCAATTACGCCGGGATTTTGTAATGTACTAGTTTCTTTGAAGTTTTGCCGGGAATCAATCTCCAGCTGAAAAGCGACTCATTTGCAAAACGCGCGGTGCTCCGCTTAAGTCTGGTCCAAGACACATATCTGCCCATACTAAACGTGCTCTTTTGTGCGCTGCAGTGAGCAAGACGCAAACATCGGGTGTTCTAGCATACAGCTGTTTCTTATGAAGCCTTCGGGCAATTGTAGACTGTGAAACTCCAATTCCAGTTGTTGTAATCCTATGTCACCATGCTGAAAGTGCCAAATAACGATCCTCATTCGCTGTTGTGAAGCTCGGTAAACCTTGTCCAGGTCTTCTCGGTAGACATCTATTGTCCTGAAACTGTTTCCACAAATTGTAGACGACAATGGGCGTTAAATTGAGCTCTGTAGTCACTTGCGTGTGAGTGGTCTGCTTCCAATCCACCAACAATTCTCCATCTCATTCCGTCATCCATACGTTCGTGACTACTTATTTGACCTGATACCATATAATTGGTGCTGAGTATGGTACGTTAACCATGAGGCTGATTATTATCGGTCAGGAGGGTTGCAGCGTACTTGTATCTGACATTACATTACATTACCACATAAAATTTATCCAAACTCTTGCAAGACACTCGGTGAATGTCGTGGAGGAGTAGGGAATCACAAAACGCCAAAAAACCCTCGTGAGCTTATATCTCCTTAAGAATGGCAGCTCTGCAGACACGGACGTGAACGATTATATATTCAATTCTGAATATTTGCATAATTTTTCGGCGAGATTATTAGTTCCTTTGATTCAATAATTTTCGCAAAAATAGACATGATTTGTAAATTGTCTTAATTTTGTACTCTATTGTACATGCGTGCCAGTAGACTAGTGCTCTAAAAACCGTTAGAGAAAGCAAATGAGATAAGGATACGAAGAAGAAAAATTCTCCTAAAAACTAATATATATGAAACTTCATTATATGGTTACTAGTAGGCTAAATCTTCCTAAGTACATAGTTAGCACGGATGAAACTCGTAGATATTATATGCATGCTTATTTAAAATGTAAGGAAGATAGATACCAGGCAGTTTAAAAACATATTAAAGATATTTTAGCATTGTCAGTCTCTTAATCAAGCTGGAAATAGTATACAAGTCTTTTTAAAATGAACATAGAATATATTCATGTTCTATATTAATTCATTATCTATTGCTGTTGTTGTGAACTGTGGTAAAAGTGTTTTTAAAATGAAAACAGAATGTAAAACGTTCTAAATATTTTCTCGGAATATCCATGATGTTGCCAACGGTGAAGATGGAGTGACATTGCTTATTAGAGAACTTCGAGATTTTAACAATATAAAATTCATTGATTTTTACAATATAATTTTAACATTTTAACAATATAAAATTCATAAAGATTGCAATAATCTTATTGCCCAATAAATTTCTTGACCGAAAGAAATTATAATATTATAATTCGTTTTCTGCAGTTCCATAAATATGAAGCGCGAGTACTATGCCTGAGTGATGCTCATTAAAAAAATTGCCGATAGTTTTATTTTATGATTCTCAATAAATGCGAAAAATTAGGAAGAAACTAGTCCCTTCATCACAGGTTGCTCCACTTGTTGAATTTAATGCGCCGAACTCTTCAAGCTTAATTCTAGCCCGAGTTGTGACAATAGTCAAGAACTCACGAAAGCCAGTTGTTTTAGAGTAAAGGCCCGTTTCCACTGCTGTGTATGCGTTTCTCCAATCAGCGAGCGAATTCACTCTGATTGACATCTGCAATACGGCCGATGTGCGGTGACGGATGACCATGGAGGTAGGAAGTAAGACTTTTCCTACCTCCATGCGGTTCCTACCTCCATGCGGATGACGGACGGATGAAGTTCAACTACTATATTCAACTTCTATCCGTATGTCTGCAGATGCGTTGGCGTCACGTGGTGAAAAAGGAGCAATCAGGTGTTGCCACCAAAAATTAATGGCGGCAGAAGTAGCGATGAACTCTGGCTTAGGGAAAGAATATTTTGCTAAAAAATACTTATTTCTGAATTAGCATTATAGCGAGAAATCTGCGTGCTGAAAAAGACAGCAATCAGCTGAATTTAGTTAAAGAAAATAAGATAATTGCAACTACAGTACTAGTTCGCAGAGAAAATCAGGCTTTCAAGAAATTCAGTTCAAGAAAATCAGGCGCAAAAATTATAATTCCAAGTCCATGAAATAGCAAAATTTGTCCTGACAATTATTTCCTAGTTCTGTATACACATTTAGCTTTAATGAAAATGAGCGTCTGTTTGTCAAACTGCTATAGCAAATCAGATATGGCATTAAAAGATTTGTTATTTTTTTCTTTTGAAACAGGTAAAAACTAAAAACGTTAATTATAAATTAAATTTGATTAGCCTTTTAAATATTCCACTGCATTAAACATTATGTTAAATTTGTATTTCTTTAATTCAGAAGTCAAACAACAAAAATCAGCGTTATATTTTCAAATTTTACTGTGAAAATGTGAAAATATAACGCTTATTTTTGTTGTTTGACTTCTGAATTAGTATTTGTTCGGCGTGTTATTGGGTCTTAATTGTAGAAGCTTCAAACAGGCTTGTTTTTTGCTTTCTTTTTTCCACGTGGTTTTCGTCATCTTGCGTTTGTATGTGTTTCGGAACCGAAAACGGCTTATTTTTCGCTTCCTTTTTTGCGCGGGGTGTGGCCACCATTTTGTGACTGCATGGGTTTCGGTAAGTACTTTTTTGCAATTTTGAAGTTCTGTTTGTGTTTCGCATATTTGGATATTATGCATTGCTTGTCTGATTTCATGCATTTTTCGTTGCAAACTGTGAAAATTTGAAAATATAACGCTGATTTTTGTTGTTTGACTTCTGAATTAGTATTTGTTCGGCGTGTTATTGTGTCTTAATTGTATTTCTCTATTTATAAATGTACCATTTTGGCTAACATATATTTGTAAGCACATGGAATATATTTTTAGCAGCCCGTTTAACTTGAATCGCAACGCCACTTTAAAAGATAATGTTTTTTGTAAGAACTGTCCTAGAAGCTGAAGAACAAACTCTGGTGAATTTTTTAAATAGCATACTGAAATAGAAACAAAAATTTAGTTTTAAGAATTCATTTACTTTATGATATATATAAGCTAACACTGCATACCGTCCCCGTGTGATGACAGCTTAGTGGTAAAGCTGACGGTAACATGGTTTAACTTTTGGAGTCGTGAGTTCGAATCTTATACGCTTTTTCCACCCCATTTGCAACTTTCTTAGCTTCTTGTTCCGATTTGATCTATATTTGTGTTTTATAATTTATTTCTATTATTATATGCATTAAATATAGAGTTTTATTTATGCTCTTATTTATTTAAATTTTCCCCGCAAAAATTTTTGAAAATTATATAATGCGAATTTAAAGCATGCCCCCGGTACATATATATATATATATATTTTCGCTTCACTTTTATGTGAATGTACATACATGTGCTCAGACTTTAGAATGATTCCAGCTCTAAACTTTCACTACCAATTAACATGAGACAGTATTAATGCCCTAAATATTAAAAAAAAAACACGATAATAATTGCTTTTAAATTCAGTTCCCTCCAGCAGAAGCGCAGGAATTAATTAATTAAATATTTCTATATTCTTTAACCTAATGTATGTATATATATATATAAATAAAAAGAGATTATTTTTATAACTTATTCTATAAAAAGAGATATGAATAAAACATTTTTAAATTAAAAATAATATTTTATGGATTATGCATAAAATATAACTGCGCATAGTGCATTTTAAAACAAACGAGATTTCTGATAAATTATCCAGCTATGACCTGAAGAAATTAAAAAGGAATAAATCGATACTAAAATTTTATATATTACCTGCTTTCTCCTCAAATTTAGGCATATTTTAAAAATATACAATCTCACATGGCAGTCAGCGGTATTACAAGCATATTGTGAACCTTTATTTACAGTTGCTCTATATTTTTAAAGTACCAATTTCTTTAGTTAAGTATGCGTTTCTCACACGCGTTCGCAACGCACTGATGGAAACGGAACTTTTAAGTTTTGTATTTCAAATAATAAAGGTTTTCTTATGTTTAAAAAAAATGAAGGTTATTTTATGTGTTTAAAGTAATTTTATAACTTCATAAATATATCTATACATTTATTTTTATTATTCCATAGCTAAGATAGAAATTTTATTAATATACATGGAAGCGACAATATGAAATATTAAATCTGTATAAATTTAACAAATACGAAATATTATATTTGTATTATATAAGAAAAAAGTGCAGGTTAACCTTTCCCATTCATATCGATTCATTTCTCTTGTTAAAATTTTATGAAATAAGAATAAAGATTTCATCTAGTTGCGTATCATTTTACAAAACTATGTAAATGCAAGATATTTTAAACCTAGAAAATCACTTTGCTTAGTTATGAGAAGTAACTGGTTTTTACTAGACGAAAATTAATAAATTTAGTAAACCCTTCTTTCCTGGTGTTTAAAATTTCACAATGCTTAGGAACATATTCTAAAAAACTATCTTCTCCCCCTTGCCTGTAAAGTGTTTTCAGGAAAATGCTCTCAGTACAATCATCAACTATTAAACTATATCTCATGTAAAATTTCCTCGCAAATTTGCTTTCCTTTTTTAAGAATTCCTCTGTTCATCGCATTATTATGGGAAAATACTAATGATATATAATGAGCTATTTCTATTTCAGGTAACAACAGCTCTGAAAGCTTTCGGAAATTTGGGTTACTTCGGCCAGAGTGCAAACGAGTTATATCATTGCGCTAATCAATCATCGAATGCCAATGAAGTCAGAATTGCAGCCATTGAAGCTTTCCGTAGGACACCATGTTCTAAAGAGGTATGTAGTCTCAAAATGAATTGAAACGAAGTAAAATATTAAGTGTATTACTATGTAGCAGTTTATTATTAACGCAAACGTAATAGTTATAGACACGTAATTTGTTTAAGTTTCGCTCTGAAAGTTATACAATCTCACCTTTTCGAAAAGCGTATTCTAAGACGAGACTCTTGTAGATATAATAGAATTAGCGCTGTGTCTTGTTAATCAAACAGAAATCTGAGAAGGATGTAAGAGACCCTTTTATTAACAACTCTAACAGCTGAACAGAAGTCACTTCTTGTGCTTACAAAACCAGCCAGCAATTATGGCGTAAATCAAAAATATATAATTTCAAATTAAAACTAAGCTATGCCGTAAGATAGCAAAAGGTTAAGTAGAAAATTATTAGCTCGCAAGTTGGCTCAAACCTATACTGTCTTGATAAGCATTACTGGCAAGAATAAAGCAACGTCGAAAACAGACTGCTATCGTAGAATATCAACTAGTAACGCGGCTTCAGTAGGCGGAATGCCTTTCTGTCTAATCAAACGAAAACCTTCCTTTAAATACTGTCTCTTTCTACCTCATTTGAATACGCGCGAACTAAAAATTTGCATTCAGGCAAGAAAACGGAAAGGGAAAGTGAAAGTAAAGATACTTAATATAAAATACCTGTTTGGAGGAAATAAATAAATACTTTACAACTTTGCCTGCCAGAATTTATATAATCACAACGAAGGTCTTTAATGATTGTTTTAAGATCCTTAAATTTTAACTAACCATTAACCAACTTCTTACAAGCAATAGAAGTTACAATTTTCTTAAAGCTAATCTTACAACTCTATCTGAGAAAGAGCTGGATCTCCATAAAACACTTTTCTTCAATTTACATTCACGTGAAATCAACTACTGATCTCCTTCCAGCCATCTGGAAGGAAAAGAATTTTTGCAGAGGAATTCAACACAAGTTACATGAATTAAATTCAAGCCAGCTGTTCTGATTTGAAATTCTTTCCCTATTTAAACATTTCCTCCAAATCTTTTCACACAATTTTATCAGAACTTTCATTCATTTTTATTTATTCTAATTAAATGTCTCTTCCTCAATGCTCTTCAGTAAAATGTACTGCGATGTATGTGCAAGTGTCATCTGTATAAGTGTAGCAAAGTTATCGTCTAACTCACATCCTACATGTTAGAAACATGGACTCACTAGACCTCAGAAACAACTTAATTTCAAAACTGCACCTAATGCATTGACAAAATAGATGATTAAACTTTCGTGTTGGCTGGAGATCCTAACGTTTAATTCGATGTATACCGCTAGCTTTTGCTTTTAACTTGATTTTCTCTTATTTGCTAGCTTATATTTAGCCATTTCATTTACACGACAAGATTTAAAATTCTTACAACTATGCAAACATTTAATTTACCTTGTTACACAAATTAACAGCCCTTTTAACGTTTGCGACTCTAAAACATTAGGCGCACTACATCGAACATTCATTTACAATATATTACTCGTATTTTAAGAAAATTCAGCTTAAACTTTAGATCATATGTACATAAGTTGCAAAAAGTTACTTTACAATTTCGCCAAATTCTCCTCAACATCAGTCTCTTAGACTAAAACAAAATTTCTCTTTCTAGGCTAGCTTAAAATCAGTGCGCATAAATACGTATTTAAATTCAGAAACTCTTGCTGCTAAAGAACAACTGAATTACCTTGCTTGAGGCAAAATTTAAAATAAACAGCAACTGTTGAACTTTTCGGCATAAAATAGAAACTGGATCTGCGAAGAAAAGTAAATTTCGTTTACCTTTTGGGGCTTTGGAATTCCTCCATTCACTTGATCACGAAGTCCTCCCGTGAAGGGTACAGGTTTGCTTGCCGCACTCTAATTCTTCTCCTGAGCAGAGTTTCACCTCTCTGGTTGAATTTTCCTCTTCTAGTCTATTTCTCGGAATATTTTAGCTTTTTCCCCCGTCCCTGAAAACTCTCTGGCTCTGCTGGCTATTTCGTAGCTTGATGATATTGTGTCGGACTTCAAGTTTCTGCTGGACCTTTCAGCTGGAACCTAGGAAAACCGGATCGCTGGAACTTCCGCGGCTTTCTCTGCCGGGAATTAGAATCTCCTTCTCCGGTAGCTTCCTCCTTAGAAACTTCGGTAGGAGCCCATCGTTCCTCCTTGGAAACAGGCGTTTAAATTTCTTTCCACACTCTGAGCATGCGTTGGTTGTCCTTAGGTCGTTCGCAGGAACTCCTGGATCTTCTAACTTTCGGTTACTTCTTTGGCGTCTTGTTCCTTCTAGTGTCTGGCTTCATTCCTAATCTTTTTGGATTTTCCTCAGTACTTGAGATTCTCTGTCTCTTTTGTCGGGAACTATATTTCCGATGTTAATGCTACTCTGCCGTTGTTCTTCCCTGGTTCTGTCTTTTATTGTTGCGTTTCATCTTTAAACATTTGCATCTCACTCCTCTCTCAAAATTCGGCTTGATTTGGTCATTGTTAGCTATTGTCTCTTCCCCATTTCTATTTCTTACATAAATTGCATTCTCCCCAAACTTTATTATCACATATGGTACTAGAAACCGTGGGCAAAACTTCTCCAGTCTGTCTTCCCCAGCGCATTATAATGAATGTTTTAATTAAGAATTTTATCTTCCATATAGTAATTAAATTCTTGCCTTTTAATTTCATAGTATACATTTGCTTTCCTCTTGCCGTGTTTGGAATTCTTATGGCTTCATCTATTAACTTTTGTTCATCATACATTTTAAAGTTTGGGGCTCTCTTTTGAACAAAAAATAATTTATCCAGAGAGATAATTAGGTTTCTTCCTAGGTGAAATTCTGCTGGAGTCTTTCCTGCCGTGTCATGTTTAGCCGACCTTAAGGCAAATGGTAACTCATTCACACAGCTATCCCAGCTCTTATGATAGATTTTTGCGCATAGAAACGTATAATTTCAACTATACTGTTATTGCCCCGCTCCGCTATGATTGAATGCGGCCAAAAAGGCTCATTTTTAAATGTCGTATGCCAAGCCCTGCGCATAATCCGAGAACTAGTTTACTATTTACCATTAGTTGTTTTAAATTGCCATTGTTATTAGTTGTTTTAAATTTATTACTTTCACATCTTTTGAAGCCTTTTCCTCAATATCTGTCTCAAAAATGAACAAACAAGAATTAAATGCATAGAAACAGTTATTAGCAAATAATACACATCAAACAAAATGTCAGATGTACACAAAACACAAATTTGTTTTCTTCCTTCTTACAAAATTAGGCACATTAGAAATAAAAATATTAAAAGAACATAATTCATTTTGAATTTATTCCCATTTGCAATAAATTAAAAAAAAAACATCCTTTATGAATATATTTCCTATCGAGAACAGAAAAGTAATAAATTCTTTTCACCCAATACCGCAAGACAGATAAGAGAATAGTCCGTTACCAATAAACTCCGCTCGTAACTTTTATTTATTTATAATTCATTTCCATTAACACAATAACTACATCATTCTTACCGAATAAACTAATTCAGAACACTGTATTTTTCCTTATTGTTAAAAAGCTTTAAAATTTAAAACAAAATGTGTTTAAAATTTAAAGGAAATGAGTTTCGAAATTTAAAATTTAAATGAAACGAGAAAGTGTTAACCCACTGTGCCACAAAAGGAAAATATCTCGTTAGATATATAAAAAACACTTTGAGTGTTTAAAACTGATATATACTGACGTGCTATCAAATGCACTGATGTGCTATTTCTACTTTGGGAACAGGTTTCCCGAATTTATAAGCAATACATAACTAAATTATGTTTTTCAGAACTGGGAATGAATGTGCAGAACGCATACCTTTTGTGTCTTTTCGAGCTAATCTAGGCGGAAACTCCATTAAAAATTTTATTTCTTTTGCCTGTGATGTCGTAAATATCTCTGGCACAAGGAAGATAGCCGAAGTGATACATCAACCTTTTATTCATATCACTATCAAAACGCATTAATACAGACATAAATTATGATTTACACACAATTAAAAATATTAAGAAATTTCCGAGTTAGTGGCACATTCAGAGATGTCAAAAACGCCCATGTTGGCATCCGTCACACCTGTTCTCGGCAGACAAAATTTCCATCTCTTTAGCTCGCTGGTGGAGCTTCCAGTCTCTCCCACAAAGACGCGAAGTAGAACACTCGGTTGTTCTGCTCATGCAGGCGTAGTACGATGAGCCTGGTTGCCATCTAGGGTTCTAGAAAACTGTTTAGAGTTCGATATACCCTAGGGTGCGACAAAATGCGACCGATATTACACACGCGAAAAGGGGGCAAAATGACACAAGCAACCACGCCTTAAATGGGTTTCGAACCCACATCTTGAGGTTCGGAATACCAGCCACTTACGCGAACCATTAAGCAGAGATTCTCAATCTTTTTCTTGCATCACTCTCTTTTAAAAGAATGATTTTCTTCATCGGTGACCTTACATTTCTCTATAGGCTATACATCACACAACGTAATCATAATACTTATAATTGCACATAAGAACTTAAAAATAAGAAAAAGTTGAATAAAATAACTTAAAGCTAATAATAAGACTAAGATTATAAATAGAAGTTAAAAAATGGTTCATAAAATTTATGTTTTATTATTTTTTATAGTATTATTATTTTAATTTTTACAAATATAAAAAAGTTCTCACAAACAAAATCACAGATTCCGTTTGCCCAAAAGTTCGATTTTGACTATTAGGTTGCCTGAGCTTGATATATTACTGCAATGTTTTTTTCTAAATATTCGGCATAAAATTTCTTACCTTAATTCTTAAATTACCTCTTTCAAAGAGACTCATCCTGTTTCTTGTTTTTCATAGTAAATTATTCAAATGACTTGCTTCCACTTGCTAAGGTAAGCAAAACTCAATGATGTTGGCTCGGTAGCAACTTTTAATTGGGGATATTTCTCTCGGATGACATTGAAATTCCAAAAGTTAGTATACTCATGTGTTTTGAATAAGATTTGTACTTGGATCATAGTATCAAGATCAGATGTAGTTCAGCAGTTCTGTGAGCCACGCTACCACATTCAAATTTTCAATCTCTTAAAAGTGAACAACAGTATCTTCTTTTAAATTTTGCAACCTGCTTGTGTGTTGTGTTGTTGCTGTGACTTATATCACTTGTTTGACAGCAATATCAGAAAAAGCCCACTAAATTCATTGTGGCAAAAGTGCAAGGTTGCGCCTGTGGTTGGCAAGAAGAGCCTTGAGCACCATGCAGATGACGAGCATCCCGTGGGGGATGTGACCGAGGGCCTTCCACCAACCTCTCAAGAAGACTTTAGTCTCGCCGCATATTTAGAGTGCCCTCATGCCTCACGGGCACTATACATATACAAACACCCATGATGCCTTCTCCGGAATTCGAACCCGGGCCTTTCAGTGCCGCAATAGACTCCCACCGTCTGGCAGGCAAGCTGCTTGTAGGCAACAATATATCTGAGGAAGATTTGCGTTCTTCGTTTTCGTTTTTTTTTTTTTTTTTGGTTATGTTTTCTTATGTTCCTGAGTTTTACTTTTTTATATTTCACTTATTGAATAAAAAATTTATATATTAAAAAAGTGTTATTGATTTTTAAAGTATGTTGGATAACTGTTATAAATTCTTCTCTAATTTTTATTTTATATCACTTTTTCCTTACTACATGAAATAGCTTTGTATCAATAAACAGTTAACTATCAATAAGTTTGGGATCTTGATTATGTTGATCAATTTCCTGTGCATATTCAACTGTCGACCCCCAATCATTCCTTGATCATCATTGACCCCCTTTAAAATTTCATCGGCTTCCAAAGATTCAATGCCGATCTTGTTGGGAGCCCCCTAGAGACAATTTAATGAAAAAAATTTAAACTGAATCCTTTTCGACAGTTTAAATTCGTATTTGCGAAAAATTACTCAGTAAGAAGTTTACACTGCAAAACAGCTGCGACTATAGATATATAAATTCTATACAAATTACATAAATGAGAAAGATATATTAAGGCAACAAGACTGAATGGTTCCTTTTGATTTTTAAAATATTCTTATTTTTTGGAGATTCGATTAAGACATCTATTTAATATTTTCTTGTTGAATTTCTTCCTATAATTTGTTTTTAGGAATATTCTGATTGAAAAAAAAAAGAAATTTCCAAAGTAGACAGATGAAAAATTAAAACATTTCGTGACCTAAGACACTCATGTTTCAATTGTAAGATTCCAACCTTTAAGTTACGACTAAAAATGAGGAACCTTAAGAATCGATAAGCGAATAATCGTTTAGTGAAAAGGATGGAAATGTAAACGTACGAAGGGTTAATTATTCAAAATAAATTAACAAAATTATTATTCAAAATAAATTTAACAGTTCACTTCTTCTCGGAGTTAACAGCAAAGCCTCCACTTGGACTTGAACTTAAGAATACTAAAGATAAGGAAAATAAATATAATAAATATTAAAATAAAGCTTAAATAAAGTTAACTAAAAAGAAATAAAGCTTAATTAAAGTTAACTAAAACGATAGCCGAAGCTATCAAGAATCTACAAGAGTTGGCCCCTTAACGCTAACTAAACGGTGAAGCTATCAAAGGCCTAAACTACGGCCGATCGTAAAATTAACTTAGAGAGTTACCTAAAAGGTGGAACGCGCGCTGCTCAGAATCTCTGGCTCTCTAACGAACTTCAGCTTTAAATACTTGCTCTTCCTTTATTTGCATTTAACCGCGCTTCTAAAAACACACTTTGGCCGGGAATTGTAAGCTGAAATTAAGATGCGACAGGAAAGTGGCTTAGACTAAACGTTAACTGTTAAAAACTTAGGATAAACCTTACACAGTATTTGTGCTGTAAAGAATTATCTTGTAATCAAAAGTTTCTAAAAGATCAGTGAGCATAGAACTATTTGAATTAAACACACAAATTTTGAAGAAATCTCTGAGCAATACACAAAAATAAGTTGCTCACGTATACTAAAATGTTTGCAAAAGCTCATTTTTTAACATTCTGTTGATTGCTTTTAAATTTAAAAATGCATTCATGGGGTAGTACCCGAAATGCTTCAGTGAACTCCCTTGCAGTTTGCGGCTTCATATCATTGCTAACATCAGGTTGTTGTTTGAAAGAATGATTCACAAGCACCAGATAAACTGTATGACCCTTACAATCGCTCGAGAATAGTCACGAATCCAAGATGAGATAGTATAGATTACGTTTTGATATAGTGTTTTCCAAATGCAGAAAGAATACCCATTAAGGGAATTTAAATATTTTACTAAGCTGAATCATTTAATTGATAATAATTAATATGCTATTATGCAAATTTAATTAAAAAATTATGCTATTAAGAAAAATAACGCAAAATGACTTTAACCTTTAAACTTATAAATCCGTGCAATTTATTAATTCATATTTAATTAAAATGCTTATGATTTTGCTATTAAATTTTATGAAACTACTTTATGAGACCTCTTTCAGCTCAGAGAGTTATAGTTATGAAATAAAAAAATTGTTAACTGAGAACGAAAATTAAAATGATATCGTAACAAAAACTGTAGACTGAAGAGTAACGTATCCCATAAAAGAATAACTGAATTACAATGAATATTATTCGAGAGGAAAATGTTTATTCGAAACATCCAACTCTTCTTTGTTAAAACCACTCTGGGATAAAAATTAAAGAAAAAAGAAGCACAGTTAAAAATCTTTTCTGAATACTTTCAAATTTTCTGTAAAGCTTCCGTGGCATCATTCCATATTAAGCCTAACGATATTCTGAAGGGGAATTTCCTTCTCATCCACCATTTTGATGCTCACTACAACTGAACTTTTATTGGGGGCAAACAATTGAGAATGTAGGACCATTAGATTTATTTCAATTTATATGAATTATCGTCCACCACATTTTAATTCGAGTGCTACTTATAGAGTCATTAGCTTTATTTTGGAAAAGGAAACATGAAAAGTCAGGAAAATCATTGCCGAGATTCCAACTTCGGACCTTCTAATTGATAGTGGACGTAATTCCCAATTATACTGTAAAGATCTTTCTCTTCCCTTACCACGTACCTTCATCGTATAATTGGAAGTACGTCCGGCTGGCAAACTAAAGTTTGAATCCGGGTGAGCGTATTGCGAATTTTTCTTGCTTCCTGTTTCAAAATAAACTTAATGGCTCTCCAATTGGCGCTCGAAATATAATGTGGAGGATAATTATTCGTCATCGCCTGGATTAACTGACTGCCCCCCTCCTGCCTTCCTATTCGCCCTTTAAGTGGGGAATAATGCAAGGTATTTTTCTCCTTCATTTACCACGTACCTTCGTGGTATACTTGGAAGGACTTACGGCTGGCAGTCGGGAGATCCGGAGTTGGAATCCCGACGAAGACATCCTGGATATTTTTTGTTTCATTTCCTACACCAAAATAAACCTTAGGACTTTACGAAGCCTAATGCCACGAAGGCTCGAGATGAGGATGGAAAAATGTCTTTAAATGTGTTGGCTTTATTAAGGTTAACAAAGCACGACACAGGCTATTTTAGTTAGCAACAGTCACAAACATCATTTCCAAAAAATGAGCACAATTTTGCAAGTCCACGAAATTTTGGAATAGGCCTCTTACATTTCACAATTATAATAGGCGCAGTAAGTATAAATTCCGTATAACCCTAAAATTCATTTACAACCCTGTATTTTATGTACAGTTTAGATTGCATATCTTCTCCACAAAGAGATGTACCTAAACTCCAAGGAAACGACTATGCATTTAATGAAAATAATTATTCAGTGTTAATATGTTTAAAAAATGGAAGTTTCATATGTTTTAAAAATTGGAAGTGCGCTTTACGAAATTACAGATTACTTTGAATCTTTATGAAAATTGGTATCTATATAGGTGAGAACAAAGCTGCTCGATATCTACAATAATATAAATGAAGAAGATGAAATCCGTATAGCAGCTCTGATATCCCTTTCAAGATGTGCTACGCCCCAGACTATAAGAAATGTGTTGGAGCGTTATTCGTCTGAACCTAGTAAACAAGGTAAGATCATTATACTTATTTATTGCTATTTGTAGTGAAAATAATCTGATCCCTATGAAATAATTCATGATGATAATTCAGATTTACAAAATATAACAAGATACTTTCGAAAGTAAAATATTTTCGAAACTATTTCTGAAAAGCTTTCATGACATTAATAAGATTTTCTTTTCTATCTCAATATCCTGGCTGTAGTCACTCTGTTTTTGATCTGAATTCAATGGCACTAAATCGCAATGTATCACACAGGAGACAAGTCAGCTGCGATGGAGAGTGAAATGTAGAATTATAAACATAAGTAGATAGGATACAAAATATTGTAATAACATATTATCAAAAACTTTTAAAATTTCATTACAGCAATATATTACTGTAGTTTCTAACAACTAAACTTACCGAAATGAAAGAAAAGCAAGCAAGAGATTGATTGTGCATAATACAGAGGTAGCCGAAAAAGAAACAGGTATATCAAATTTTACAGGAACCGAGAGTTTTTATGCCACGGTTGAAAAAGTTACATGGTTAAAAAAATATATCCTGAAGTTTACAGGACTAATTAAATATGTTCCATGTATGACTCTGCTGTAGATGCGTGACATTTTGATTATGTATGATTTTTTTTTTACAAATGTTCTATGTGTGATTACAGTGACTCTTGACAGATGTCAATGCAAAAGTTAGATTCATACCAAAGAGCTTGTCTTTGTCGACAGGTGTAGCAGCTGCAGGATGCGTGGTTTAATATTGTCCCAAAACTCGATCTTTTATATATTCCCAAAAGGAACAATTACACGCTGTTAACACTGAACTTCTTGGTGGCAAGCATTCTAGAGCTTTGCTTTAGTATGTCGTAGAGGGCCAACTGCTGTTCCAATCCTAAATAGATTGCTGTATAATAGCTGTTTAACCTGCCGCATTCCAAAACGATGCTGTGCAGTAACAGAGTTTGGTTTCGAAAACTTCAAGCGCATAAAAAGAATTTTTTTACTTCATTAGGGCCCATACGACTCTACTGATGTCAAAAGTGCTCATTAACATGGACCTTATAAGTGGGCGGAGCGCGCGTCCCCCACATGTCCGCAAGAAGGTGTAGGGACAATTTGGTTTACTTTAACACTGAAACCTATGGCGTTTGTATCACATAACTGCTTTTAATTATTAAATGTGATACGTTGTATAGTAGAGACATTATGTATTTTTTGAAAGCAGGAGACTTGAAAAATGAGCAATGCCTTCGACGGGAATCGAACCACGGACCTCTGGAATACGCGCCCAGCATGTGTAGACCACTACATCACGAAGACACGCTAAGAAGGAGGGAGAACTACCTTATGTACGCCCTCTTTCAAAGGGCGACTGGGGTTTTAGGGGATCCAATCGAGAAATTCTGGGGGATGTGGAGAATCATCATCCACCACCCTTTTAGTTCGGGCGCCAGTGTACAGGTTATTAGGTTATTTTTTATTATTAGATTATTTTTGGAAGCAGGCAAAATAAAAAAATGAGTAACGCCTTCCCCGGGAATCGAACCGTGGACCTCTGGAATACGCGCCCAGCGTGCAGACCGCAACACCACGAAGGCGTGCCAAGAAGGCGGGAGAAATACCTTATAGCATAAGTGATGAGATTATGAAAGTCCCAGTTTTTTAAATAAGATTTAATATATCTCATCAAAGCACTTTTTACCCCATTTTGCGCATTCTTTCACGCGTAATTCTTGTATAAATATCTTTACTTCGGTAAAACAGTCAAAACTTTAAACACAAAATTTATGAACTTACTTTTCAGTACAAATAAAATAAAATTAAATAGGATTGATAGTACAGGATGCTTTGAAACAAATAAAGTAAAATTAAACAAGGTCTGATAATTTTTTAAAAAATTTTATAAGCATTTTCAGGCAGTGGTTTTTAAAATTATTATAGCATTACAAGACGAACATTGATTTGATTATATGATCATTATTTATTAACACTACAAGATGATCATAAAAGGATTATTTATTTTAATAATTCATAAAATTCGGAGTGTAAACTTCTCTAAGGGTAATGAAAAAATAATAATAATATTAAAAAAGTAAAAGATAAAATAAAATCTGGAAGCACTCAGGTTTTATATAACGCCCAAAGATACATTTTCTTAACGTTTTGCGCGTTACCTTTACTTACTGAATATCATGTTCTTCTCACGTAAACCACAGAAAATTCAATTCGACAGCAATATCACAAAATATTTGAAAACAGCATATCTTTAGAATTTCCGCGTTGGAGATAAAAATGTTATTTTCCGTACAGTGTTGCCACTGCTCACTTTGAACTCGTTGAGTTTGTTAATCAAAAGTTTTACAAAATATGAAATGGATTAAAACAAATTTGAAATTCGGCCGTCCAGGTGCCCATGTTCGGGTGGAAGATTACGTTATTCAAAATTTGATGGCTCTAGATGCCGTCTTTTTCTCACAGTGCGAGAAACACACGTGTATTAATGCAGATTCTTCATTGTTTAATTTATTCATTATTTAATTAATAATATAATATAGGGCGATAATGTTTGGTGGCAACAATTTGCAAATTGAAACGTGAATAGCGCAAAATGCCGTTTTGAAACTACTAGCTCTTTCTGGGTTACCGCTCCTTTGGACTAATAAATTAAATTCACAGTAAATAAAAAAAATCTTATGCAGAACTAGAAATAAATTTAAAAAAATAATCACAATAAAATACTAACACAATTAATTACTATTAAATACAATTTTAACATTAGAATAAATGTATAAAAATGATTAAAGTTTTAAAAGTGTTTATCACTCTGATGCATTACGAAAGTTAATTGAAATAAAACTCCTTTATAGAAATTATGTTATAATATTCACCTATAATTTTAAAAAAGCAGCACAATTTAAGATTTTAAAGAAAAACTTTCAAAAATTCATTTTTAGGTATTTTAGTATTTTTTACTTCTTTACTCCGATAAAAAGCATAAAAATTGCAATGTTTGTTTGAAATTTTCCATTAGTTCAGATTTAAAATTTTAAAATATTATTTTCTAAAAGAAGTAGTTACAAATTTATTTACAGCATAGGAAAAGCTAAAAAAATATCCAGGTCTGAAAGCATGCAACAGCTTTATAATTATTTTATCGTTAATTATGCTTGATAAATATGCTATTTTTAAAAATCAATCTCAGTTTCAAAAACAAAAATATCTAAAAATTCTAATTTGGGAAATGAGCTATTTTCTTGACAATTATACACGCTACAATAGCCAATCATTGTTAAGTTCCTGCCAGTCATCCCTACTCCTCTGGATATGGTCAAGGGTGAGCCGGTAATGCATCAAGCGAGGGAGAAAATCCATTTGGGTTGGTCTATTTCTTATAAGGTCCATGCTCATGAGGTGCTGACATCACGAAAACTAACGAAAGAAGGAAATCGTAAACTTGAAGACTTCTATAAAACGGTACTAAATGGTTCCTAATAAAACAAACCATTTCGATTTATAGGTTATCAGGTTCTGTGTTTCTCCTTACTTGCTTTGGGAACATTCAAGAACCTGACTCGGAACAGGGAGCTTACTAAAGCTATGTTCAATAAATGTGGGAAGTAGACAAGATACACAGGAAGGGTATACGAAACCCTTTATTTTTCACTCTTTACAATAATTTCCGTACTTCGGAATACAGAGACCAACCACTTGTGGTCTGAACGTAAGAATATAAAAATATTAACTAAACTCTAACTTCACTTTGGAATAATAAACAAGAGCCTACGTGGAAGATTGGCCGTATATTAACAGGAAGCCGTTTGTAGTACAGAGAACTGTTAACACTACAATACGTTTAAAATTATCAAGAGGATTAAACCTCTGGCCTGGAAGGCAACCAGCAACCGAGTAAAAACTGCTAAGGCAACAAATAGACGCCAGACAAATTTGCATAAATAAGTTAAAGCTTTTAATTCTGGCTGGAAGTAGAAAATAAGAAGTGATAGTGAGGATTTAAAATAAAATAAACGTTAGTAAAACTTAAGATCCTTACAAGGTAAAGAGAGAGGAAGACAACTTAATGCAGCATGGGAAAATTGTAATAGATTAGCCACCAAGATAAAGCTAAAAAATCCTTAAGTAATCCTTAAGTAAGGCGAAAAGTAGGGAAGGAAAAAAAGGCTATTACGAAAATCTATGAAAAGCTATTGAAGTGTAAAATTTCGTTTTAAGCAGAATAAGAGAAACGTAAATAATAACCCAGAAAGGAAGGGGGGGAATAAATAAATAAAATAAATAAGTAAACAAATAAAAATATAAATAATAATAATAAATAAAGTAAAAAAAAGACAAAAATTTTGAAAGGTTTCAGATTTTTAATTACGTACAAAGGGGCGTTTTTTTTAATGTTTTGTCTATTCCCTTTATTTATTAAATATCATGTTCTACGTACTCAAACTATGAAATTCAGTTGAACAGCAATATCGCAAATTAATTTTAAAATGAGCATATCTTTAGAATTTCCGATACAGTCTTGCGCGCTGGAGATAAAAATCTCTTTTTTTTTTCGTACAGTGTTGCCATTGCTCGCTTTGAAATCGTTTACTTTTTTAATCAAAAATTTGTTGAAGTGTTACAAAATATGAAATCGATAATAAAACAAATTCTAAATTCAATTTAGGGCATCCACATGCCCATATTCTATGGAAGATTACGTTATTCGAATTTTGATGGCTCTAGGTACCGTTGTTTTATCACAATGCGAGAAACATACATACATTTATGCAGATTCTTCATTATTTGTTTTCTATAAATATAAGACAGGGTGATAATATATGGTGGCAATGATTTGAAAAGTGATACAGCCTCTTATAATTTTCAGAAAATTATTTCGGAAATTATGAAGAAATTGTAGAGTCATTAGGTTATTCTGAAGCAGGAGACGTGAAAAATGTGCACTGCCCTAGCCGGGACTCGAACCTAAACCTCTCGGATGTGTACCGACTGTTTATATTATACCACGAGGGCATGCTGGAAGGAAGGAGAAAATATCTTATACATCCCCCCCCAAAGGGCGACTGAGAGTAAGGAGACACAATCGCCAAATCCTGGTGGTGACGAATTATTGTCCACCACCTTTTAGTTCGAGCGAAACTGTAGAGTCATTAGGTTATTTTGAAGCAGGAGACATGACTAATGAGCAATGCCCTCGCCAAGACTCGAGCCTTAACCTCTCGAATACGCGCCGAGTGTGCTACCGTTACACCACAAAGGCATGTTGAAAGGATGAAGGAAATACCTTATAAATTAATGAAAAGAAGGCATACATTGTTATGATTCATTTCTCAGAATTTTGTTTTCAACACGAAAAACAATTTTAATTCCCAGAAATAAAATCTGAAAGTACTGTGAATAAGGATAAAACTGCAATTTTTATATTTTTTATGATTACGAAAATTGCACTTTGCTGTAAAACACACAGCAACATTTTTGACAAAATTATTATTTTTAAGGTAACATAAATTTTAACATAAACCTAAGATTTTAACATAAATTCAAAACAAATATAATTTTGCTATTAATATTATTTAAAAGAATGCGTTTCATTTAAAATTCGTGTCACTCTTTAAAACATTTTAGCCTTTATAAATACTTTTCGCTTGTTTATATCAAATAAAAGTCACTGAAAAAGCTACTCGTGAGCTTTATGACATAAATAAACTTCATTGCTTTAATCTTTTTAGCTAATAAGTTTCTTAAAATAATTTTGATATTTCAGTTGAGGTATTCACTTGGAGCTACATAGAAAACCTGAAATCAAGCTCTGATCCTCTAAAAGTGAAGTTACGAGAAGTGCTCCTGAGAAGCGAAATAAAAGCTCCCTTTTCAGCAGATGTGTCAAAATTCTCTAGAAATTTTGAATGGTCATTTTTCTCCAATATATTGAATCTTGGTCATGTAATTGAGGGCAATATTATCCATTCCAGAAATTCGTTCCTGCCACGTTCAGGAAACTTGGATCTCAAAGCGAATTTGTTTGGAAATCAGTTGGACATTGCGGAGGTTAGTAAATTTTATTGTTAAGCCCATTGTATTTAAACAAAGATATGACCAGTGCTCTTGTGGTTCTTTAGTATGTAAAGTATTATAAGTGTTATTTATTTTCTGGAAAATCACTAAGTTTTAGTTTTCTTAAAATGACATACATATATATAAGAATTATATATATGTATATGTTTTTAATTTTAGGTTGGAGGACGACTAGAGGATTTGGAATATGTATTAGAGAAACTCTTTGGTCCTCGGGGTTTGATGCCGAATCTTGAAGTCTCAGACATACTGTCTCTTTTGCCCAAGAACGAAGGAAGGAAAAAGAGAGCTGCAGATTCATATAAATCAAAAATAGATTCCCTAGGAGAAAGGGTAAGCTCAGAAATTTCTTCTAGAAATATTGTTTAAGAAACAGTTGTGGTCATAATAAGTGATATTTATATTGTGAAAGGCAATTATTCTTTCTAACGTATTTTGTAGACGCAAATTACAGAACAGACTCTGAGAAGGAACTTTTTGCAACAGAACTTTTGTATATGTTCACGAACATTTTTTAATATTGCTTTTCCAAAATCGTTTGTTCCATCATTTACACTCCTGCTGAAAAAATAAGCAACAAAAGCCAAACACAGAACAAAACAAAAACTGTTTAACACATATGCGATAAATGGATCTAAGAGTTTGGTGTGGCATAACTAGACCACATAGAAAACATATAAAAGTCACATGTATTACCACCATCACATTGCAAAAGACCAGTTGAGTCGGAAGAATGCGGAATGGAAACAACACGTTAATAACGTGTATGATAAATTGTAGCTGAAATGCAACCTTGGCAATGGCGAGGCAAGCTGGCAATTGTGTCGTTGATCGTTTGTTGGAGCATTAGAGCCCATTTCTGTGGTAATGCATGTCGGAGCTCGTGGAGGATGACTAGTGGTACACTGTGACCTGTTATCCGTTGTCTCAACATGTTACATACATACTCTGTGGAATTCAAGTCCGGTGATCTAGCAGGCCACGGCAGATGTGGAATGGTTCCTCTCTCCATATAACTCCGCACAACTCGAGCTCTATGTTGGCGGACGTTATTGTCCACAAATATCGCGTCGGTACCCATTGCAAGGATAAAAGGAAGCACAAGAAGGTGTGGAATTTCGTCGCGATATCGGAAGGCTGTGACGGAACTACCAGGAATCACGTAGAGGTCGGTGCGGCCGATTGTTGCTATCCCAGCTCATACAAGTAAGCCTTTTCCTCTGTAACGGTCTCTTTTGACGATGCTTGGGGCTCGATAGCGTGTCCCAGTTTCTCGCCATATTTTTGCCCTTTGGTAATCGTTTTGGATGTTACATTGAGACTCATCCATAAAGAGTGCGTGGCACCACTGCACTCCAACTACGATGTTCATGGACACAGTTCAGCCGCGCTCTGAGATGCGATAGGGACAAAGAAACACAAACCACAGGTCGTTGGGCGTACAATCCACCTTCGTGGAGTCAACGTAACACATTTGGGTGTGATATGGTCCGTCTTGCAGCAACAGAGAGTTGCGGTGCCAGCTTTTGCGCGCGCTATTAGTGATCTATGGCGTCTTGCACATAGCAACAGGATTGTCTACCGTTGTGGTAATGCACTGGCATCCAGACCCACGTCTTCTACAGGAGTTTAAACTTTTTATTAATGATTGCACAGCCTATTTATGACACTACAATGCACATTCAACTTTTTCGCAACAGCGTCTTCTTTCGTCTTGTACCAGCTTGCAACATGACGAAAGGCCTCCAACACATTTCATTGTGCAAATGGTGTGTTCGGCTATATGCTTTTTGCTTTGGTTATGTGGGATTACAAGGAACTATCGCTGCTTGTGAACTGAGGCATAGGTTCGACATGTCCCATTTAAGGTGTTGTAATGTGATTGAGGGATTGCGTTTTATACTAATTTTGTTTCCTATTTGCATTCGGCAATACCTTATATGTAAATTGTATATTTTAATTCCCCTTTTTATATTCGTACTGCTTCCAGTTACAAATATTTATCTGTAAAGGTCGAGCTTTCCAGATAAACCAGTGAATATAAATCCAAGTCTAAACTAGTGAACTGTAATTATGAATATATAATTTCTGTATTAAGTTTGAATTTAAGTTATGATTTTATTTTTAATTTCAGTAGAAATAGCTTTCGAGAGATATTCTTTGAAGGAAATGAAAAGGAGTATTATATTTTAAAGGGCATTCGAACACTGATTTAGGTATTACGTTTTGTACGAATATATGTCTCACGAAACCTTTATTTGGGTTGTTGTGAACTGAAATACAAAATTTTAAGATGATTCACCCCAGATATATAAGCAAATGCGTATAATTCTTTTGGATAATCGGAAGAAGGAGTTTTCATTTTTCAAGAAAGTGCTACTTGGCATGAGTTACAATTCCACACGCTTCTTATAGCCTTCTATCTGGTGCTGTTATTTGGCGCTTCGTCATTTTGCTCTGTTTGCAGTCTGATAGTTATTCCCTGCCAAATGAAAATCTGCATCCTTTGGTGTGGTGTGGTGTGGTGTATTTAATTATGGCAAAGCACACTAGGGCTATCTGCCTAAGGGGAGGGATGCCTCCGTGGAGGACTTTCTAAGGGAAACTGGCTCGTATACACGTTACACATGGGGAAAATCACGAAAACGCCCATGCAGCCAGCCCGTTCGCGGGATTCGAACCTCAGACCGAACTACCAGTGTTCAGCGACTTTACCGCTCGGCCGCTGCTGCATCCTTTGAAAATTTATGCCTTTTTAGTTCTATTTAGAAGAAACTACGTGAAAACTAACTGCATGCTTGATAACATTTCCTAGAAATTGTGGAATTGGAAACCACTGCTCTTACAAGTAGTTAAATCTGGTCGAGTAAATAACGACAATTTATATTAGTTAAACTCAAACTTAATAATTTCATTTCAAATGTGTTATCCTCAAGTCCATTATCTCGTAGATGCATTTTTACATGTACTTGAGATGGAAAGGAAAATTAAAAAACTGATTTCGGGTACTTTGTCAAAAAATCTCGTATTTTTAAAGTCGTGAAAAATTGTCCTTAAAACTTCCAGCAGTTTTGAAGGGTTATTTTAGATTCCTTAAAAGCAAGAAATTCGCCTAAAAGTGAAAAAACTAAAAAAAGTTCATATTTTTAAGATCATTGCATGAATGTTTTGAATTTCATTTCCAGCATAATATTGAAAACTAATAGTTTTATGAAACATCTAAATAAAGTTCTTTACATTTACGATGCAATAAAGATCGGATCATTATCTAGATTTTATGCTTGAAGGATAAAGACATTTATTTATGACTCAAAAAACATTTTTAGCTAAATAATCAATCAAGTCTTGAACTTTATAATTGTCTCTTCTCAGTATTTAGCCACGCATTTTGCAATCCTTAATTTCAATTCATCTTCCATACACTGAAATCAATGAAGTGCAAAGAGACCTCAACAAAGGGCTGGTCTATCTCGTAGCTAGAGCCTTAAGGTTTGAAGTAAAGCTTGAATTTCGGCATTTGAAAGTGTCATTTTTTTTATCTTCTGCTATTAAAATTGTTGATAACGTTCTAGAACTTTTTCACCACTCCAGTTGCTCATCTGTAGACTTGTATATAGTCTTGTCTCTAGTGCTTCTTAACTGATTTGTATCTAAAAAAGCCCTTCTCACAACCAGTAATACTTACAACAGTTGTGAGGGAATTTCGTTCTGAAAACTGTATTTTAGAATAAATTGCGAAAGTTCAAAGCGGCTTCCCTCACAAACTCTCGCCTTCGACTTCCCAATTAGTAACAGAAGTTATTTCTCTCTCAGTGAGTAAATCTTTCTTATTTATATTATTAAGGTCATGATTTAATTAATATTCAAAAGTTTCGATGTAGAAAAGAAGGCTTAATAAGAAAGGGAAATTATTTCTTCAAATACTCTGTCCTGTGCAAAAACCATTCTCTTTTCAGTTTAATTTCGTTTCACAGTTCTACATCTCACGCTTCTTGACCTCGCCAATAATCGACCGGATAAAATGGCTGAATAGTGGAGTTTGATCCGGAGTCAAACTCTAAAGAATGGGCTGCCTGCCTGATGTGTAACGTAAGGTATATAACGTTGTATTCATTTATACAATGAGGTGAATGCGAGTTATTGCGCCTTTCCTAGCGTGAATGTGATCGAATTACCATTTTAAGCCCTTCGTGGCGAATTTTAGTCCTCCACGAAGTAATCTATCCTCTAAGACAGATAACCATAGTTGAACTTTGCTATAACCCAATATATATCTCTGTTAATATTTCTGCTCTGAAGATCAAGTCAATAAGACAAGCCAAAAATAGTAGACTAATGTGTTTATCAAATTTTGATGCAGTTATAGGTTTTTAAGCATGTTTTATGTTATGCGAAATATAAAATGTTATGTAAGTACTATTTGCAAATCACAGTTTTGTAATTTTTCATTTAGCTCGGCTATAAAAGAAACAAAATCCCACATGGTTCTACCTTCATCCGAATCTTAGGACATGAACTTGATTGGACGCAAATTAACGAGGAATTTTCGAAACAACTGCATTTGGGTTCCATTATTAATCATCAGTTAAATTACGTAAGTATATTCTTTCTTTTAAATACCCAAATATGTTTTATCTCATATTACAGAAAGTTAAAACAAATAGCCGATATTGTATTAAGGTTGCTTCTACCAAATGACCTCAAAAAGCCATAATTTTCGATGTTAGTAATTGTGTGATGCTGTTTTTTTCGTGCAGGATTCTTTAAGAACAAAATTGCTGGAAAGTATTAAGAACTAAAAAGAAGTATGTTTCGTTTAATTGCGTGTTGTAAACATTTGGGTAACTTGCTTCTTGTGCATGCTTTTGTATTCTTAACCAGAGAAAGCCTTACCCATTTCCAGAAGTGAAACTAACAGACGTTTGCTAGCTTAGAAAAGTAAATTAAAACATAAAATGTTTTCTTTATTTCAAACATTACTTAAGTTAACGTATAACAAATACCATATAATGGATATCATTATGAGTCTACAACATAACTTGTAAAATACATCCATAAATTCTTCCTATAAATATTCAACTCATTTTATGTACTAATTTCCGTCAATTAAGACAGCTGTAGGGTTCCAACGTTATGGTGCAACCCGATTAAGACAGAATTACCGAGTTCGATAAATGAGTCTCGTTTAGGGACTCCAATTAAACACTGCCACGAAGCCGTGCTGACCTCAACCCGATATCCAGAGGTGAGGCTTTCTAGTAACTTAAGAAAAGACGTCTTCGAACCGGCTAGTCACCCTCCACACTAAACCGTCTGGGGTCATTCTAGTAGTTCAGAACCCTTTTTCTGTCCCAGCATTGTAAACGATTCATGCAAATATATTTACTGTTACATTTCTATAAGACTAACTTACAGAATAGGCTATATGAAGTTTCATCCTTTCGCAAAGTTATCACTTCCTAAATTACATATCAGTTTCAGCTACTTTGCTTTCTCAAGGCATATTGCGGTTCTAAAATTGTGCGTTACATACCGCTGTGAGTCTGAGATCTGAATTCCATGAGAGATTTTTCAAACTAAAATTTGATACTTAATTTCCTTAAATATTATAAAAGTGTATACCATAAAACGTATGTTATAAAACATTTCATTACGAAATTATCGCGCAAATGTATAGAAACGGTACGATAAAATGTAAGGATTCCTCAAACTCTTAAAGTTAAGAATTGTTGCTGTAACGAATTTGGGCTTAATCTTCCGCTAGTGATACACGATTGTCTTTGAGATTGTGGGCAACTCATCTGCAAGAGTTATGTAATGAAGATATACTCGTGTGCAAAATTAAGATGATTTGCAAATTATGTCTGTTTTTACAAAAAGTATTCAACCAAAAGTATATGCCCTACGAATAATAATGCAAATATTCATAATCGAATACGGATGCATACATGTGCGTGTCTGTGATTGTGGAGAGGATATAAGCGCACGAATGGCATTAGGAAATATATCTGCTCGTACTCCTTCACGACATTCGCCGTGTTTCTCGCAAGGGTTGGGTAAATTTTATAAAGTTCAAAGAATGTATGGATGACGGACTGAGATGGAGAATTGCTGGTAGATTGGAAGCAGGCCAATTACAAGCGCAGGTGGCCATAGAGATCAATGTAACGCCCAGTGTCGTCTGAAATTTGTGGGAACAGTTTCAGGATACTGAATCCATATCGAAAATACCTGGACAAGGTCGACCAAGATCTACAACGACGAATGAGGATCGTTATTTGGCACTTTTAGCGCGGCGACACAGATTTGGTACAGTTTCATCACTCTCACATGAGCTATATGCTACCACTAGAACCCGAGTTTCACGGTGTACTGTTGCTCGAAGGCTTCATGAGATAGAGCTGTATGCCAGTAGACCCGCTAGTTGGTTTCCTGCTCATTTCAGAACGCAGAAGACGCGTTTAGCGTGAAGCAGACAACATGCGCCTTGGGCCAGACTTCAGTGGAGCACCGTGCTTTTCATACATTAATCAAGATTTTGCCTGGACATTGATTCCCAGTGTATCTATATTCAGAGATGGTATGGAACACGATACCATTCCTCCCTCATCAGGAAAAAGGATCTTTACCATGGTGGAGCTGTAATGGTTTGGGAAGGCATTATGATGGACGGCGCACAGTCCTTTTTGACAAAGGCTTCTTGACTGCTTTGAGGTATAGACAGGGGATCTTAGAACACTATGTTCAACTTTTCAGGCCCACACTTCTTTCTGGAATTCTGTTAGTGGACGATAATGCTCGTCCACATAGAGATCAGCTGTTCGACAATTACATGGAAAGTGAGGATATTCGTATGGATCGCCATCCAGATCTCCTGACCTGAAACCTATAGAGCATATCTGGGGTGCTCTTGGGAGGGCAATTTCATCTCATCATTCCCCCTCCTAGAACCATCCTGGAGTTAAAAACTACCTTGCTGCAGGAGGAGTGCGATCGACTGACACAGGGACTCCTGAACTGCCTCCTGTCGTCCTTCAGCGGCATGTCTGGCTGTGAGAAGGACCATACCCCATATTAGAAAAATTTTTCAGTTCGATATCACAGAGTGGATTTCGGGCATCCCTACACTGTGAGCTTTACATGCGTACCTAAAATAACTCCGAGAATGTAAAATGTACATAAAATTACTTTTCAATGGCAGATCTGTTTCTGCGTTACAAATATATATTAATTTCCAAATTTCATTAAAATATGCTCACTAGTTTCTCAGAAATTAAACACAATGTGCAAATTCTCTTAATTCTGCACACGAGTGTAAGTTAAACTAGTATTTGACTGCAAACATTTAAATCATATTGATGTAACTCCTCAAGAAAAGGGACCCGTAGTCGCAAACTAAATATTTTTTTTCGTACTGAGACACATTTACTAACTTAGAAGCCTAAGACAAGTTATTCACAAAACATTTTCTCTAGACTATATTACGTCTCATTGTCTTCTAAAACCAATAATAATGAATATCGATATGCAACATCTATTCTGTTGATTATCGCCTTTATACCTATTGCCAAATAAATATTTCGCTGAAAGTCCCAATCCTATACCCTCAAATAAAGATTAACCGAATTCGGCTAATGTTCTGCATTTATGAACACATACAGTAAGAATTCGGCTAATCTCTCTTTTTTTTTTTTTTTTTTTTGTGAGTATACATCGTAAACAGTGCAATTTTCATCCATATTCCAGCTTAACTACCTCTGTAGCGAATAACCCTAGCAGTCTTTACAGCCAATTTCTGTAACAAGATAACATATCAGGCAGGCTTAAAGTTTAATAAATTAACATAAATTTCAATGAAAAACTTGAGTAAACTGTACAAAAATTAAAAATGACAACTTCGGCTGGCAAAAGAGTCTCTATAAGTAATTTAAATACAATCAGCTTTTCCTACAAATTTGTTGGGACTAATTAAGTCAAACATACATGCAGTTCTTAATCAATATCAGGTACTTTATCTTTCATGTTCCTTTTATTTTGATTTATTTTGCAGTTAGCAAATTTGAGGGAAATAGACAACACCAAAAACCTCTTGTTTCTCGATGTTTCGGTGCTGTTTCCTAGCGTTACAGGCAGAGCTTATAAATTAGCAGCGAATGGGAGTTTAACTCTTGGCATTAAATCGGATGGCAAAGTTGATATTCGACAACAACATCTGCCTTTCCCTCGAGCTCATATAGACAGCAGGTTACAACCCAGGTAAAAAATCCTTCCTCTTTATTTATTTAAAATTTTATTTAAACACTTGAGACATGACATTGTGTAAACAAAATAAAATTTCGTCCTCCTTTCATTATTAATTGTGCTGGGATGGGCAAGTTCCATTAACTGCTTTCCTTCATATCGCATAAATACCATATTTATAGTGTTCTCAGACAAACTTTCATAATGCTAAACCTTATAATATTCGATACAAAGTCGTATATCTTAATTGATTATATGTGTCGAGATCTAACATGTTTACTTCGCGAGAATACAATTTTACAAGACAATGGCAACACAAAGATAAAGCATAGTCTCAGCATCAGTCAAACAACACAAAAGCTGATTAAACACACCTATCAACTTTAAATTTACTTTAAATAAAATATACTAGTTTACAGCCAAAAAGTATTACTTTTATTAAACTTTTTAGAGCTTTTGTTATCACTAAACAAATGATGATAAAATTCATTACAATAAGCAAACTTTTGGCAAAACTGGTTTCATACGTTCTGTTAATAAAAGGATTGCAGACGCTTATTTGACCCACAAGGTCTAAATTGTCAGTGTATGGCTTAATAACAATCTCAGTTATAGCCTGTTGGGAGAAGGACATAGTAGGAAGAGATTTAAATTGCATTAGCAGTTAATTAATGCATCAACTACTGAGTAATTTTCTCATACATCAACTAATTAGAATGGAAACAACTGTAGGAATTTCATTAAACGAAACTGTTTCAGAATAAATAGCAAAAGCATAAGAAACTGAGTTTTTAAATGTATTCTATACTTCAATTCTTTAATAATAATGGGCTTTCTTTTTCCTGTTGTTGCACTAGAGGCAAATAACACGGTTGTAAAACTCCTTCCTAACTATTGTTCCTTTAAGATATTTCTTTCCTACCACTCATACTGCTTTACTTCAACAGATCTCTAAGATGCAAATTTCAAAATTTTGGGAATTTATGTTTTGACACTTGAACAATTATGTGGGAATTTTCAGTTTTCTGAACTCTGTTTTTCATGCCTGTGACATAGTTCTAGATATGAAATCAGTTCGACAGCTCATCTTCCCAGCTAGCTATTAGAATCAGAAGTTTGTAAGCTGGACAGCGTGATTTCTAGTTAGCTTTACTTTTGAGTATTGGTAAGAGTAATGAATGAGACTTTGATGAACCTTGAGTTAATTTCTGTGGAACTTTTATGTCCCTTAAATAGTGGTGGTTAAGTTTTAGAACCTACAAGACAGTAGTTCTCAGTGAGTAGTATTTCATTTTGTTGTATTAACTTGCATAGTTATTTAAATTTTTCCAACTGATTTAACAAGAATTGGGGAAAGGTGAAAACTTTACTTAGATCTCTTAGGATCTAGCTTTGAGAGAATACATGCGAGTTGAATTTGTAGTGGTAATACTGTTCTGTTTTCATTCGTTAATTAATATAAGTTCTTAATAATCTTTGCTACTTTCCTATCTTTTCAATTAGTAAAACATTAGTGAACTACCTATCAACTCGTAAAATATTAGGTTTCATGTTTTCACAAATACAGGCATGAATTTTTTTTAATCTCAAAACAAAAATTTATTTTTGTAATAAAATTTATATTATATTCCATAATTAAAACCTTTGTATTTCGCCACTGTTTTTTTTAATCTTAAACTTCAAAGTGTTGTATCTGCCATGTTTAAAAATAAATTTTATCTTACACTTTAGAAAATGTAACTATTTCATACACAGAAATAACATTTCTTTTTTAGTATTTTAGGTGAGCTGTCTGCATCTTTTACCCTACATTCTGAGGATTACGAACCTGGTGTAAAGGTTGAAACTGCTGTGAACGCTGGATTAGATTTTCAGACAACTTTTATTTTGAAGGATAAACGTATACTGCACATTAAACTCAACCGAGTGCCAGAGCGAAGCGAAATTTTTAGTCTTAAGTAAGTTCTTTTCATATATAAAATAATTTATTGCATAAATTATTTGATTGTATTGTTTAAAGCTGCATTGCTAACGTTTTATAAGAACCCTTACATTTACTTTGTAGGCGCAGAACGTACACATTGAATCAAAGAGGAAAAGTGGAGTTGCCAACGTCTAGTTCCTTAGAAAGAAGTTATTGCACTAAATACGTTCAACAAATCCTTGGAGCACGGTACTGTGGTTCATTTTCTATTGCCCCTTTTCCTCATATCTTTAACGCAGAAGGCAAATTGAAGCTGCCTTTTGTAAGGTCTCTAGACGCAGCTGTTGTAGTCGAGAAAACGGACATAAGCAGGGAAGGTATCGAATTTCTCTTGGAACTGCCAGACTTTGAGGTAAAAGGTGTTTTTTTTTTTTTTTTTTTTTTTTTTTTCTTTTTTTTTTAAGTTGCACATCAGTTTAATGAGCATAACAGCATAACATAATGTACTATTTAAAACCTTATTAGTATTTTGTGGATTCATTCGGCAGTGCTTGCAGAAGTAGCAATATAATTTTTACACTTAAGTCGAAGAAATTTTAACTTTGTTCATGCACTATGAAATCGCAATTTGATTCAAAATTTTATCCAGCAATGTTTCTAAGCTTATATGCCTCACTTTTATAATCAGCAGAACCGCTTTCTTTATATCTCTGTGCTTTGTCTCATTTTACAAATGACGCATAAGTAAAGAACCACTTCCTTTATATATCGCTGGTCTTTTTTTATATTGTATCCAAATCATTCCAAAAATTAGGTATTATTTAAAAATTAAATAAACTCGAAGGCTTTGTTGTGTAGTAAGTATTTCACACGAGTTTCCACAGAAATATGCATTCGTAAAGGTTGCATATTTGATTCATTTAGAGTTCATTTCGAGTCATTTAATTTTTTTTTAAATAAATTTTCACACCTTAACCTTTGGGAAGTACTTGGTATGACATTCAGTTAACTTTAGCGATCTCTGTCAGTAATTTAGCTATTGCACGATATATCACGGAAAGACTCCGACATGTTTTACTGACAGTGTCGCATCCAATGAAGGCTTTCTTTCAGCTGGATTATTCCCGGCAATTAAGTTTTTCCAGAACTGTCTGTAGAGTGTTAAAGCTAGTGCTTAAAATTCAGATGGATACTTGTTCCAATGAGACTGTAATTCCAGCTAGACTAAATTTAACTTCAAACATGATGAGGTATAGCACGTTTTTATGACATTAAATCAGAATGCAGACAGAAAATTCTATCACTTATATAAGATATCATTTATATCTTTTAGCAATTAAAACGACAGGTATCGATACACTAGCTACTAAAAAATATGCCTCTTTTTCTACGAGAACAGAGAATCCATACATCAAACTGCCTGGAGAAGGGGAAAAATGCTTCTTGTCAGAATGAGGTCCTTTCAATATGAAGTGTATTAATAGATTTGTAACAGAAAGGCGAAATTTCCCATTTCGGGAATATTTGAAATGGCAAGAAGTCAAAAAACGTATCTGACTTTCAAAAGTCAGAAGCCCATTGATAGAAGAATATAAGTAGCAAATCAACAAAAACTGAAGACCATTACTGTAAATCAAATACACTCATGTCCATAAATTAAGGATAATGCAAAATCAGGCAAAGGAAGAGTTAGAAGCAAAACAAATTTGACTTATTTGTAAAGCTTATTTATTAAGCAAAACGTAAAGAGCAAAAAAAGATGCTATAGTTTGATATTATTAAAAAAATTAGCGATTTTTTCTCCCTGGAGCAAATTACAAAAAACACCTATTTAAAAAAAAACAATATTACATGGTTGGTATGATTGTTAATACATTGTATGTCTCCCAGACGATGCAATACAGTCCGTACAATGCCTAGGCATGCTGAGTATCAAATTATCGATCTGATCTTGGGGGATATTACACCACTCATAAAGCAATGCTCTCCGAAGTTCCGGTAGACATGTAGGAAGGAGGTTGACGGGCTGCAAACTCGTCGGCCAAGCATGTCCCACACGTGCTCTACTGGATTCAAGTCCGGTGAGAATGCTGGCCAGTCCATACGGGTGATATCCTCCGATTGAAGGCATTCGCTTACGATGTTTGCACGGTGAGGACGGGCGTTGTCATCCATAAACACAAATTGTGTGCCCATGGCGCCCCGAAACAAATGTACATGTTGTTCCAGAATGACGTCCCGATAGATTTGGCTTGTCATGGTTCCAATTTGAACATGCAGGTCAGTTCTGGAACCCAGAATAATTCCACCCCAAACGAGCACTCCTGCACCACCGTAACAGGTGTCGTTCAATGATGTTTTCTTGGTGGTAACGGGTACCTGGAGCTCTCCATATGAAAGTCCGGTGAGAATCAGACTGCAAGCTAAACCTGGATTTGTCGGAAAACATCACACAAGCCCACTGTTGCGGAGTCCACAATGCATGCTGTTTACTCCAGGCTAACTGCAAGCGACAGTGAGTTGCAGTAAGTGGAACGCATCTGACAGGTCTACGAGAATATAGACCAATCTGCCCTAAGCGTCTGTACACGGCCTGCCTCGAAATTGTCGTACCAGTGTCTGAAGATAGCTGACGAGACAGGTCTGAGGCTGGGCTCCGCCTGTTTCTTTTGGCAGTAACTGCCAAATACCTGTCCTCATTTGGCGTTGTAACTCTGGGGCGACCTGGGTTGTAACATCTATTCACATTAGCATCATCCTGGAATCGTTGCCAAAGCCTGGAGATGACACTCTGGGCAATTCCAGGTTCGTCTGAAACTTTCGGTTGGATACGCCCACATTCCAGATGGCCGATAATTCTACCACGTAAAAAATCATCCAAATTCGTCCTTTGTGTCATAACTATTCGGTTATTGCACTGAAATGCTTATAAAGCGCCTGCGAACAATTTTACTTCTTTGCCTGTATTCCTTATATATCACTCTCTTACACTCTCGTCATTGTGACGTACCATCGGTGTCATCTGGTTACTTCCTGAAATTTGCATATGATTCTTGAAGATGTGTGTAGTGATTTTACAGGTGATATATTTATTTTAGAGTTCGATTTCCGCGTGACTCCGAATTATCCTTAATTTATGGACATGAGTGTAATTTCTACAGTTTTATAATCTGCTTTCTATTACATCATGTCAGAGAAAGAAAAGTTATAATTGTTTAAATAACTGACACAGAGTTTGAAGCATGCACTATAAAATAAAGCAAAAGCTGTTCTGAAAAATAGTTTTATTCAATAATTGGTACTGTTCTGTTATCAGGACCGCACTCATCGCCAAATGTTCTAATCTTGTCAAGAGATTGATTGGTTAGAATAGACTGAAGGGTTATTGCGAAGTTGTTGTTTCATTTATTGTCAAGGGAGTGCGCAATGCCAAGTTTGTGCAATGATGTTTTTTTAAGTGAAAATAGGTCAACCTGTACATGGATAAAGGGAGTGCGGAATGCCTAGTTTGTGCAATTCTGTGATTTTTTTAAAGTGAAAATTGGTCAGTGTGTACATGGATACCGAGTTTGTGCAATTCTTTGACTTTTTATTTTGTCTTTGTGTAGCGGGATTTTTGGCGCTAAAATTGCCGCTACACAAAGCCAAAATAACAAGTCAAAGATTTGCATAAACTCGGTATCCATGTGCCGCCAAAAATCGCCAATTTTAGCCAAGGGGTACCCGTAAATATATACTTTTACCGATTGATTTGCATGAAGTTCCTAATGTTTACTTTTAAAATCGTTACAATGTTTACATTTTAAAAAAGTACAAAAATGAATTTCATAATTGGCAACGAGCATACAAATTCTGAAGTTGAAGCGATCACTTTAGTTTTTTTTTTATTCTTGTATTTACCATGGATTTGAAAATTTGGGACTTACCCTAATAGCGAAAAACCTTCCATACAATTTCTTCAGGAACGATAAATCGTTCACTCTAGAAGAAAGTGCACCTTAAAATGAAGTTCTGCTCCATTTTCTAAAGAAGCACCGAAAAACGGAGGTATGAAGATCTGTATTTGAACATTTCTGCATTAACCATAAGTATAATTTTATCGATCCCGATACTAGTTACAAACTTTTGAAAACTTATGGGACAGTGCGAAACAGACTTCACCAAGGCACTGAACGTAACCAATCAGATTTTATTTGAGTTAATGAGGAGGCAGCAGCGTCCTAAAATGAAAATCTTTTCAGGCATTTTAAATGATATTCGCAGTTTTATGCCTCCGCATTAACCTTAATTCACTAAATTTCCTAACCGATTTTTTTTTCTAATTTCTTTGGTAAGTTGCTTAATTTACATTAAAAATTTCTAATTGTACTAATATCTGTTATGTTAATTTTTCCCTTGGATTTTTCTTCAACTAAACCGTATCGTAAATATTTCTGGGATTTTTTTTTATGCTTCGAATTTTTCGCCAGGTCGTCAGCTTTTGGCGATATCTGAATCCGATCCTGATAACAAAACAGTACCTAATAATTGGAAGGGAAAAAATTGAAATAATAATATTTACAATAATGCTGTGTTCAAATATGTTCTTAATTGAATACTTTTAAGGGATGTATAATGTGTAGGTTTCTTTGAAAATTTAAAAACGTAATACGGGTAACCCTGTCCTGGCGTGCCACATCTGCGGATACTTCTCCTGTCAACTGGTCTAAAATGGGTTGGAACGCTAGTATCTGTCATCTTACAATATGGATAAATTTGTGGAGCAGTTACATTTGCATCTGTCAGGAAATTCCGTGAAACAGCATTGGTCGTTCTTATGCTTTGATTATCAACTGAATATTCTCAGGCATCACCGCCAAAAGCTGTCTGTATCTTAATAATATGTACTATAATTATTATCTCATAACTCATTCTTCTTCAACTTTGTCTTTTCACTGCTCAAAAAAAAATTCGTCATCACGAAAAATGTTTTCGGGAGCTGGAGTCTTAGCGAATGGGCTGGCTGCATGGGTGTTTCCGTGGTTTTCCCCATGTGTGACGTGGATACGAACCAGTTTTCCGTAAGAAGACCTCCACGGGCATCCACCCTTTTCGTGTAGTACCCAAGGGCGAAGCACGTAATACGTTAAAAACATTTTTTTTTTAGTTGCATGGATTTTTGTTTTTATTTTTTGTCTTATTTTCCTGCTTTAAGTGTGCATACATATCAAAGTGCATACCACAAAATATATTTTCACTTCATACAGAGTTAAATTCTAAATCTAAACACTGTAACAGGATTGTTCTTGTAAAGGAAAAAATATGTTTTTCAAGCATGATGTGTTTGTATTTATCTTATCATATCATTCCGAAATGCTAATATTTGCTTTATCTCCTTAGAATGAAGAAGAAAAAGCATTCAAGCTCTTATTTCAAACCATAAAAGCGACACCCACTTGGAAATTGTCCACTGACTTTACACTGAAAAGCTCTAACGATAAATCTTCTTCTTTGGAAGTAAAAGTTGAAACTCCGTACTATAATGCTAACATCGATGGTAGGTGTATTTGTAACTTTTATTGAAAATGATATAGTAAATAACCGTATTTAAATGATTATTCATGTAGAAAGATAGATGGTAGCAAAGGTTTTAATATACTGAATTTAAAACGCCTCAAATCTGACAAAGCGCGGATACCGGCTTCCGTGAAATAAATGGTCAAAAGGAACGACATATATCCCGAATGTGTTTATTGTATTTCTGTTTGCATAGATGGAAAGATTAACTAAAGAGGTTTCAATATACCGCTTATATGAGCTCCATGTACAATAGCTCGCGCTATATCTAGGTGACATTCTATTTCATTTAACTCGTTTGAAAGCATCATTGGTGGGATCTAGTTCTATCGATTCTGTAATTCCTGCTGTAGCGTGTGACAAAGAGTCAAGGCTAGCATTTCCACTTTATTAAATTTTTAGGCTACGGTGAAATAGTTTACAAGAGAATGTTCATTTATTTTTAAAGTTGTTTCACCTTGTAAAAAATTAATAAACAGTTACCTTTGTGAAAGTTTCAGTCCGCTTGTCCAGTTTTCTGAGGGATTTTCCCCAGTGCTGTGTGAAGTCAAAGTTCTTGAGTAAGGGAAAGAACATTTAACGTCTCCTAGCTACAGTTAGCAATTCCGAGCCAGTCGATAGTAGAGCACTGGGGCTGTGCTCAGTAATTTTATTGCAGAATTTCTGGGCTTACAAGAACATTCCTTTCGGGAATATCGTTGGTTCGAAAGTTTTATAGCATCTCTCGATTGGCGATTTCACCCTAATTGTTGGTGGCTCTAATATTTCGGACCTGGAAAGACTTTCTTGAAAATTCCCAAGAATACTTGTAATGTAATCTATTACTGAAATCAAGATTACTTTCTTTTGTTTATTTTGGTTATTGCAAAGCGCTCAAGGGCTACATGCCTAAGGGGAGGGATGGAGGGATGCCTTCGTGGAGGACTTTCTACGGAAAACAGGCTGTATACACATTACACGTGGGAAATCCCTGGGAAATCCCTGAGAATTCCCATGCAGCCAACCCGCTCGCCGGCTTTCGAAATCCGGACCGAACTACAATATTCAGCTATTTTACCGCTCGGCCCCTGGTGGTTCCCAGAAGTACTTGGAATCTAATCTGTTACCGTCTATAGGAGTGGTCAGTGGGCTACTGATGCGTGAAAAGATTTAGCGGCGAATTTGCACCCTCTAATCTCGAGAACTACTGTTCCAAATTATGTTCCCTCTTTGGACCACCACTTAACGAAACGAAAAGTCAAGAACTCGACGTGGGTGTAGGTCACATTTTTTCCCCTGAGAAAAGATCGTAAGATAATAGCTGAATAATAGCTGAAAATATTACATGGCACGCAGATTTAGAAAGCTGAAATCCGCTTCTTGCCAGTGTTTTCGACGAATAAAACATTTTGACTTGTTCTTTTTCAACTATCGGGGCCAACCAACGGCCAAGCAGTAAAGTCACTGAACACTACTAGTTCCGACCTATGTTCGATTCAAGGCGAATGGTTGCATGGACGTTTTCGTGTTTTGCCCTTGCGTAACGTGTATACGATCCAGTTTCCCTTAGAAAGTCCTTCACAAAGGCATCCCTTCCCTTAGGCAGATAGCCTTTGCGTGCTTTGCCGTAATCAAATAAACTAAACCAACAAAACTTTTCCAGCTATATAAACTATAATGCAATAAACACGTTGATTTCAAATACATGAGTTTTTCCTTTTCACGCTTCTTTTGCGTGCACCCTATATTGAATAAACTAATTTTATTAGTAGAATGTGTGAATATTAAGCATACCGGTTACATATAGGAAGATCGTGGGTGAACTAATTTTTGTAATCATAGGAATAGAAAAGGAATTTTCTATGAGACGTAGAGTAAGCCCATAGGCCTATCTAAAAGTTATTGTATACAGTTTTTGCTATTAAACTATAATAAAAAATTAATGAAATATGTGCAACTAACATTTTACATAAAACGTGTTACATAAGTATATGGATTTCGTAACACTACCACTGAAGGAAAAAATTTGTAGTTAATGAGATAAAGAAGTCTGAAATTTAACAATCAGATGCAGCTGCCCTTACTTCAAGCACCATTTAAATTTTTTCCTTTGAAACCGCCTAAATGTACCTCACAAAAATATGACTTGGTAAATGCAATTAAGATTTTTATCTTTCCCATACTTGGCATTGATAATTCACTGTTTACTGATATCAACTAATTCTATTCTACTAATTTTTTTTCTTCAGTGTATTGTTTCAGCGCTCAGTAAGATTTTCTTTTGAAAAAGTAAATTAAGATGCAGTTCTGGCCTTGAATGGATGTTGAAGCTATCTAAATGTGTTAAAATTATCTTTATGAAAATACTTTTTGAACCAGTCGATAACCACTTTCAGAAATAGGCAGCAGTTTTTATAGTACCTATTAAATGCTTTCCTTACACCTTTGGCTGACCAACGATTCCACAGAGTATATTAGCTGCTTAAGTTTAGCCAAAACGAGAGTAAATATCTAAGCAGAGAGGGTGATAGAAGCACACTAATCTATTTGGAAACATATACTTAGTTACAATTTTACATATCAAAACATTTCAATTGGGGGACTCCTTTTAATGGTGAACGTGATTACATTTTGAATTATTTTATTATATACAATAACTTAGTTTTATTTTATAGTTTTACTTCTTCTCTAGCTTTTTTCTCATCTGTTGGTATGGGGTTTGGCACTTGCTTCTGAGAAGATTGATATAAAAGATTATCGATTTAGTGTTTTAGATTTCGAGACTCTTATTGATCGTAAATACACTGGTATAATAAATTAAGAGAATTTGTATATTTTATTGAATTGCATGAAAGGAACTGAACTGAAGGAAACACCACTACTATTAGATAAAAATACAAATCTTATACGGCAAATACGTAAGCATACACGTGTGTATAGACGTAGCCATTAGAAAAACAGGCTTTATAATGTAAGCGCATGGAGGGTAAGACGAATTGCGTTCGCTAGAGCACCTCGGCGAATTTCTTGGTGTTATCTTGCAGCAATCGGTTAAATTCACATCGGAACAGCAAAAATGAGTAACCACCAACGTTCAGATGATGGAATGAGGTGGCGAATTGTGGGGAGGCTAGAGGCAGGCCAATTGTAAATCCAGATATGCAGATAATTTAATGCTCAACGTCGTGTGTAACCTATGGAAACAGTTCCAGAATACTGGATCCATCGAGAGAAGGCCTAGGCAAGGTCGTCAAGAGCCACGACGGCCAGAGAAGATCGCTATTTGTGCATTTTAGCGAGGCGTAATAGAGGAGTTACAGCTTCTCAGCTGTCACGCGACCTGTATGCAGCCATAGGAACCCGTTTAGCAAGGGTGACTGTTGCCAAAAGACCGGCTGTTTGCGTCCCCCTCACGTCTACGGACAGGAGAGTCTGATTAGCATGGTGCAGGCAGTATAGTGATTGGAGTACACGGAGCAATGGGCGACCGTTCTGTTCACCGGCGAGTCCCGTTTTAGCCTAAACACCGATTCTCGCCGTACTTTCATACGGATAGAGCCAGAGACCCGCTACCTACCCTCCAATGTCCGCGAAATCAACAATTATGGCGGTGTAATGGTCTGGGCAGGCATCATGTGGGATGGCCGCACACCTCTCCACGTCTTTGACAGAGGCTTTCTGACTGGTGTGAGATATAGGGATGAGGCCTTGGAGCCCTATGTTCACCTTTTCCGCGGTGCAGTGGGCCCCGAGTTCATCTTACACGACGATAACGCGAGGCCACATAGAGCTCTTCTGGTCGACGAATTTCTAGGGAGTGAAGGTATTCGCCGGAGGGATCGACCAGCCAGGTCTCTAGACCTCAACCCTATAGAGATGTCTGGGACCCTCTGGGGAGGGCAACTGCAACTCGCAACCCCCACCGAGAACCATCCAGGAACTGAAAACAGCGTTGCTGAATGAGTGGGATTTATTGCCACAGGAAATAAACTGCCTTATTTTCAGTATGACATCGCGCTGCGAGGCCTGTATGACTGTAAGAGAGGACCATACCCCTATTAGCCCATTTCTTTTGTGTCTTTTGCAACCGCTGTTTCAGACTTTCAGACTCCCATGAATGTTACACACGAACATGTGTGTCTATTATAACTGTTGAACTTTTATTTGGTTTGTATTATATCAACCTTTGTTCACACCAAATTTTATTAAAATATGTCCTGTAGTTCTGGAGATCGTAGATCAAATATGAAAATTCTCTTAATTTCTTACGTTAGAACATATTTTATTGAGAGGAAATGAAGATATGGAAGTAATTGTTGAGAGGTATAGATACTCTACAGATAAAAACAGATTAGATCGCTTCTGTAAAAAGATGAGAAAGGATATTCAAAAATTGAAAAATGGTTGAAATAACTTACAAAAAGAGAGGAAACACATAATGAGGCTCTGAAGTTGGAAGAGGTGATGATTACGTATGCAGACAAAAATCTGAAAATTAAGAAGAAAAAATGCAGGGAAATTTCATGGTGGACCCCCCCCCCTCAACTGGAAAAACGTGAAAGAAGATAGAATCCTTAGAAAAAGCTCTCAGATAAACGAAATTTAAATTTAAATTAAAGTACAGAGAAAGATATTGTTTAATCGTGAAATAACTATATATAAGAGATTGATTAAAAACGCGAAGAGAGAAAGTAAATACAAAGATTTCCTCGAGAGCATAGAATATTGCGATAGATTTTTAAAAATATCAGCTAGAAAACTTAAGAAAAGAATTATTTATAAAAGGCCTGAGGCGAAGAAGATGATTTGGAAAAATTTCAGAAAGGATTAATAAAGGATGTTTTGCATATAAATGATGATGATGATGATGATTACTCTGAGATGACTGATATAAAAGGTGTGAAATTAGAGATTACTGTCCTTCTCCATTGGGGGGGGGCAATTCTCAGAAACAAAAGATCCAGATGGTGGTTAATCAATTGAAATCTAGAAGTGCGCCAG